GGGAGAGAGGTGCAGCTTAGACTCCTATGGGATGGGTGGGGGTTTGGCTTGGTCTCTTGCATGCAAAGGAGATTGGTTGGGGCTGTTGGGCGTGCTCTGAGGGACAATATGTGAAAACCAACTTTTGACATATATTTCAAGGACATTGTTTTTAAAATATTTTTAATTTTTTAAAATCGTTTCTTCCTTTCTTCCTTGAAATATTTTTAATTTTTTAAATTATTTAAAATATATAAATATACCCTTTCTTCCTTCCATTTATAATTCTAACGGTGGCATATCTTAAAAGTTTATAAAAGTAATTTTAAAATATAAATCTTAATTATTAATAAAGAAATTCGAAAAACAAAAATAAAAATAGATCAAATCGATTAAACAAACGTAGAACCAGTATATTCTTCCCGGTGCATAGTCATTCTTTCCCACCTTCGATCTTGTTCTTCTTCTCGGTGACTGAAAGAAAGTAAATACCAAAAATCTAAACCACCAATTTTCTCTGAACCCTTATTCTTCTCTCTTTGGTAAACTGAAAAATCCCTCATTCGTATTTCACAACACCCAAAACCAATCAATTCGCTCAGTCATTTGTCGTGAAGCTTCCCCACAAGCCTGCCTCTCCACCATAGTCCATCGCCCAGTCGCGGAGCCCCCTCCTTCTCTCGCCGACATGCATGAGCAAGAAGAACTCTCCATTGTGGAAGAAAGCCCTCGAAGGCCTGGTTCAATTCATAACGAAAAGTTGGAGTCCAACACGATTGGGAGGTGGCTTGATCGGGGGCGGCGCGATTGCGATGGCTGGGTTCACGAGGTGGGCGTCGCGAGTGGCTGAAGTTCTCAAAGTGGGTGGCGCGATTGGCTGGGGTTCTCGAAGTGGGCAGCGCAATAGGGATGGGACTTGGCTGGTTTTGCTTAGGTGTAATGGGTCGCGGGTGGGGATGGGGATGGCCGGCGGGATCTCCGGTGGGGATGGGCGGCGGGCTCACATGTTTGGCCATGAAAACTGATTTGGGTGTGGGTTTATTTTTGGGTCTGCATGTAAAACCAAGAGGAAGGAGACGATCTTTTTTTTGGGTTTTTTATGTTTTTCTTTTTAATGATTTTAATATATCAAGCTTTTTTTCTTTATATTTTCTTTGCTATTCTTTGTTAATTTTTTAATTCTTAATCATTTTAACAGAGTTAATAGGAATTAATATATCTTGGCACGTCAGCAGTTCTGTTAGATTTGTAAACAATAGATATAAGGGATATTTTGATAAGTTTTTTTATATAGCGAAGAGTGTTTTGAGTTATTTTAAAAAATCATAAGTCACGTTAAAACAAAGTACAATTTTTAAAGGGTATTTTTAAAAATAATTTTTAAATAAATTATGTATAAATATGTAATAATAAAATTGGATTAAAACATTAATCTTGAAGATATATATATTTTTTATTACTTGAAGTATGAATACACTGGTCTGTGTTATATTGTTTGCCAATTAACTACGTAGCATGTTCGCCTCAAAATATGACTAATGTTATGTTTGTGTCATGTTATGCCATTATATGTTGTCCTACCTCTGATCCAAAATGTACAATTTTATGCTAAATATAACTAAATATCAAAAACGAAATTACGGCAGCACCACTGTAACTTGCATGGAATAACTAAGGTGGCGTTTGGTTAATGGGTTATGAATTATGGTTCATGATTTTGATTTGTAAAATTTAAATTTTTGTGAGAGAAAAACACTGTAACGAATAAAGAATCATGATTCTAAATCAGGTCAGAACCATCAAAATAAACGGAGCATAAATGACCTATTCAACCACACAATTGACCCATGATAGCCGATTAACTCAACTTTATGCCCCAAAGCATTACTTTTAAACAACACCACATGGAATGTAAAAAACTAGTATATTAACAAATCAATCTAATACTAAAGTCATATAATGAGAGGACCGTCGAGACAGTAGATAAGAGAAATTGTTAAATCCGAGTATGCCTATATATATAACACTTGTGTACGTATATATGTTTAAGTCATTTTTTATTGTATTTATATAAATTTCACTTTTTCAAATTTTTAAACTTTCTTTTTTAATAATAATCTTGCAATATTATAATGAATTAGAATTAGTTATCTTGTAATAAATTATAAAACAAAATTTCAAGATTCTCTTTTTATTAGTAAAGAAAGAGATGGTGTAGTTATAATAAAATGTAAAATAATGGGTTGTGGTTATGTTTGATTTTTATTTGGAAAGTTAAATAATATGTAGCAAGAAAAAACAGAGAATGAGAGAAAAAAGAAACGATCGGCAAGTGATCCTAGCATTTCTTTAAACATGAAATATGAATCCCTAACACTATGTTTAGTAAGGGGGAGAGATGGAGCGAGAAAGGGGTGAAGGGATAGAGAGAGTTGGAAGGGTGAAGAATGTGATGGACGTAGATGATTATGGTAATCATTTGTGTCGTTTGGTAGTGGAAGAGATTAAGACCCTCCATCCACCCTTCTCTCTCCTACCAAACATACCCTAAATCCCTTCTTTGGTTGGAGGGAGAAGGCATGGAGGGAGAGAGTCCCTCTAGATCCACCACTTTAGAATCCTTTTATTAGTCAAAGGATCCAATTTGTCCAAATTTAATTAAAAAGACTTTTTTATCCTTCAAAACAAATTATTAACAAATAGTTAAAATAAACAATATTATAATTAAATAAATAACTATCATTTATTATTTTAACTCTATTTTTCTCCTACCAATTAACTACCAAGAGGAAGGAGACGGTCATTTATCATTTTAAATTAAAATGTATATACTATATATGAGATATGATTAAGCATGTATTTGATTTATAGCTATATGGCTTTTCTGCCCCCATGGTCCTTGAACTTGTCGCTCCTTTTTCTTCTTTTTTTTTTTTTTTTTTTTTTTTTTTTTTTGGCATTTGCATTTACGAATAGATTGCAAAATACACCAATTGATAACTGTGTTAATTTTTTAACAAAAATTGACATGTGACTTGGACAAACAAGCATCAATTAAAGGCAAGGGTGGTCATAGTTATTTGTTATTAACCTAAATTTGTTTTAAAACAAAGCGATCAATACTTGAACTTGATCAATGTTTTATAGTTTGACTACCTTTGGGTGTATGTCTTTTGGGCGTATTTGGAGTTTTGAAAGCGTTGTTAAAGATAACTTTATTTTTTTAAAGGATATGTTTAATCAAGAAGTTAAGTGAGATAGTTAAACTCATTACTCAATGTGGAGATTTGTTATAAATTAACTTGTTTTTCTAGAAATTTGAATGGCATGTGGTAGGCACCTGATCCATTTTAAAAGGAGCTTGCCACCATCCCGGTTAGAGCATCAAACAAGTTTTTTTATTTAAGGTTATAAAATATCACATGAATAAAAAAGATTTAAGAAAAATATGATATAGGCCCTGTTTATTTCCGTGTTTGTTTCTATTTTCACGGTTTTTGAGAATAAAAATTGAAAACGCTTATTCAAAACGCGTTTGGTGTAAACTTTCCTAAAAATTAAAAACAAAAACGTTTTTGTCTTTTTCTGAAAATCTGAAAACGATTTTTTCTCGTTTTCATTTTCTCCTCCGTTTTCGTTTTCTCTCATCCGTTTTCCTTTTCTCTAAAAATTTGATCTGCGCCTCGCCATTTGCTTCTCCATTTTCCTCTCGCCTGACCTGCACCATTTGCTTCTCGGCCGAGCTCCTCCGTTCTCTTCTAACCCGATTAGTTTGGGTTTCACGAATCACAATTGGGTCGTCTCTCATGCGTCGTTACTACCCACTTCACTTTGTAGTAATAGTTTTTATACTTTGACTCCATTTCATTTTAGAGAAAGCCAACAAACGCCAACTATGGAATCTCTCAAATTTCATCTCTGACCAACGGAACTTTCTCTCTCCTCTCTAAAATATCAAACCCAACTAACTTACAATCCAAACTTGCAAATACCCATTAAAGCTAGACCTAAATTACCCACACATTTTTCAGCTTCCACAACAAAGCACCTGAAAATAATGGCGAAAAAGAGGTCGCCGATCGAAGGCATGAATGAAGAGCTGAACAAAATAGCTTCACAGAACCTTGATTTCGCTCCTGCTCGCAGAAGGGTTCGGTCCGCTTTCGCTGATGTCCAGCAACAGCTTGATCATTTCTTGTTCAAGCTTGGTTTTTCAGTTTTGATTTTTTACAAGTGATCATGAGTTTTTTTTTTTTTTTTTTTTTTGTAAAAATTTTTTTTTTTAATTTTTGGGTTTTTTTGGTTTTGGGGGGAATCGGTGGAATATATTATTATTTAAAATATAATTACATGTTTTTAAAAATTAAGCCACCAAATGCGGTTTCAGTTTTTTTAAAACTGAAAACAATCTCAGAATAAAACTACCAAACGCATTTTCAGAAATGATTCCAAAATGAAAATGAAAATGTTTTAGAGAGTGTCTCATAAAATCAATATAATATTTATCTGTCAATTAAGCTGGTGAAATTAATTATGCTTTTATTAAGAAATGCTATGATTGAGCGCTAATATGGCATAGGCAAGTGCACAAGATCTCTCATGTTTGTAATCCGATATTAAACTGATCAATTGATGTGTTCTCTAACCACCCAGGCCAAATAATGCGTCCGGATATAATCTGGCTTTTTACTAAAAGATTGGCTCAAATTAAATTAGGCAGCCAATTTACATACCACGGCACAGCAAATTGGATATAAAAATTTATTGTTGTGTGGTTTCTCCTGAGCCCGTGCTAGGAAATCATTAGCTACGAACGAAATAATTATACAAGGATTTAAGATACTTCAGTCTTCGTTATAAGAAAACGAATTAATGGAGTGCATATGAAAAGAGAGAGAGAGAAAAAAAAAACCAAGTCCAAAAAATGAAAACATGCTGTTTACATTAGACAAAAAAGAAAGAAAATAAACTACCTTTAAAAGGTGTTGGCATCAAATTCTTAAAAATAACAAAAATATGTATCAATCGCTAATATAGGTAGGCAAAACCCAAATCGGTGCTTGTCCACGCATTTTAGGGAAGGCTGCATCGTCAATGGTAAAACGTAGTGCGACACGTCTAGTTTCAAGATTGTAGACACCCAAATCGCAAGGACCAAAGTCACCAATTGGAATAGTATTCTTGTCATGAGTAAAGTAGATGCAATTGATCTTCAAACACCCAGAAAAGTTTGAAGCAGAGACGGATGTGGAGGCGTTGTCGCCTACAAACAAAGCCATATCACCAAAACCTTTCATCTCAATCCACCTCGGTCCAACAAAACTCAATTTGAAAACTTTAAAAGTTTTCGTGACGGGATCGATATCACCAAAACGTCGATCTAAATACCTTCGAACCAGCAGAAGCTCTCCTTCATACGATTTCACCCGATATTTTTTGTAACAAAATCCTCTTTTAACAAAATAATATTTATCAGAATCCTCTGCCAAAACTAACCTCATATTTGACTTAGATGGGTTTGTAACATCGAAAGACACAAGCTCTCCCTCGTAAGACAAGGCATAAAATTGACCCTTGTAATACACAAAGTCATCAAATGTTGTAATGCCCAACCCAGTAACACGAGTCCACGTAATGTCTCTAGTCGGTCTAATATAAGCTAATTCTGAATACTCTCCAAATATTACTGCAAGAATTACATCATCCGGATCCGTTGTTGGGTTAGGTGTATATGATGCAACCTTAAATACCTGAAATTCACGATCAGGTGCTTCTAGTATGTTATCCGGAGGAAACACAGGAGGAAGGTGTATGATTGGTTTTCAGTTACCCTCCACAAAAGGTTTGTAATGTGTTACTGCTAAACTCTCATAAGAGTAACTAGCTATCCTTCTGAAGAACCGCGGAAAGGCTTATCATATGGAGGAAGAAATAGCTTTCGCATTAAGAACTTGCCATTCAAGACGCTATACATGCTCCATTCGTCATCTTCTTTGCTTTTAATGGGAACCAAAAGCATCAGAACCTGATGACGACTCAACTCGATAAGTTTACTTCAGTTATGGTTATCCGTTATTGCAGATCGCCACGAGAGAGAAACATAACTAAATGATAAACAGTCCGTTAGTGACTCCAATTTCTCCAAAAATAGGTCTAAAATGTGTCTTGGCAAACCTGCCCAATCTAAAAAATGTGAAAAGATAAGATAATAAGTTAACCGAACATAAAATTACGAAATTGAACCGTACAATCTTCAATAGACTTGCTCTATTATTCCAAATTAGAAGTTAGAAGTGGGCAACAACCACAATAACAACAAAATTGAATAACACGCATGCATGCAACTATGTATATTCGATCATAATATTCTTGACAATTAACTCGACAAAACCATAAGTTTTGCACCGTGTTCATTATATTAAGATATAATACTGCAAATTCAAAACAAAATATCACTTTGAAGATTGAACTTCATTTGAAATTATAGCCACTAAATTCTTAACTAACTAGAAATCGTACGTAGTACAACAAGAAAATTTTTTCCACTTTTAACAGCTGGGGAATGCTTCGTTAAGGATCACAACTACTAGAAAAAGATCACAAATACTAGGAAAATATTATTTAAAAACCAGACAAATTATAATATACCTGAATCCATTTGCTCTCCAGTGATTTTTTTTTTTTTTTTTTGAAAGTGTTGCTAGTACTGCTTTCACTAGTCGAAGGGGTTTACCCTATTTATAATCGTGTAACGTGAAATCTTAATAAAATCTTGATTAGAATCCCAGTGAAATTTGATAATAAAAAGCCGAATCCTAATACAATTTCTCTTTTCTTTTTCCACGTTACAACACATACAAAAAAAATCCTTTAACAACAATATTAAGCTTTTATCTATTTATTAAAAATATTAAGCTTTAATCTATTTATTAAAAATATTAAGCTTTTATCATTATCTCCTTCAAAAGAAAAATATAATTATGTTAGCATATATTGTGACGCCTATATACGTGTAGTCATGTACGTTTTATACACATACTAAAATAAAAAAATTGAATATATATGAATATATATATATATATGTACAGTGATGCATATGGTTCGAGTATGTAATACTCCTCATTAATGAAATTGATCGAAATCTCGGTGAACCAAAACAAGAGGAAAAAAAATATTAAAATCCAAAAAATACCCACCCCAAAGGGCTTCATTATCCTTTGCCCTCTAAAATAATTCTATTATCTCATAAACTTCAACTTTAACTAGTGCTCATATTACATAAAACTCTTTAAATGTTTAGATACATATATGATATATCCTAAATTAACTGTACAAATATATATTTAAAAAAATGGTAAAAGAGATATTAAGAGTTGTAATAAAAGAAATATATATATAATTACGCTCTATTCTATTTAATTTCAAAATTTTGGTTAATTTGTGTACCCCTAAAAAAGAGGCTCTGCCGCGTGGTATGTAAATTGACTGCCTAATTTAATTTGAGCCAATCTTTTAGTAAAAAGCCATATTATAATTAACAAAACATCAACCCGTATGCACTCGCTTAGTTGGAATTGTTGATGTGGTGCACCTGATTAAGAGATTTAAAAAATTAATTAGAAGATTAAAACCCAATTAAACTTTAAAATAGCAAAGACACACATGAAAAAAGGAGACAAATACTCTACTATTTTTTCAGATTGCACGGCAATACAAGTCTTATTTATCCATCACTCTCAATTAATACTCTTTTAATTAAGTATTATATTAGTCAAAATCGTATTAATTAAGAAGAAAAGACAAATTTTAGATCCACAAGGTAAGTTTTTTTTTTATTTTCTCCTTTTTTTTTTTACATATTGGATATAAATACATTAAGAAATTTTTTGGAATTGGTAAAACTGAAATTAATTTTTTGCGCTAGCTCTTTTTTTTTTTTTTTTTTACCGAGAAGGTCGGCAAACAGTGAATGGCAAGTACACTTTAGTGCCAATTTCTTAAATGCAAAAATTAAAATGTATATACTATATATGAGATATGATTAAGCATGTATTTGATTTATAGCTATATGGCTTTTCTGCCCCCATGATCCTTGAACTTGTCGCTCCTTCTCTCTCTCTGTTTTTTTTTTTTTTTTTTTTTGGTATTTGCATTTACGAATATATTGCAAAATACACCAATTGATAACTGTGTTAATTTTTTAACAAAAATTGACATGTGACTTGGACAAAAAAGCATCAATTAAAGGCAAGGGTAGTCATAGTTATTTGTTATTAACCTAAATTTGTTTTTAAAACAAAGCGATCAATACATATTTTGATAAATATTTAAAACTAAATAAATGCTATAATCCAGTAAATTTCGTGTAAACTGCCCCGTTAACTTCGCTGATTCGAGTTTAAAATTCGAGTTTTTCTACAGTAAAAAGCTCTCACAAACAATCACATCTAACTTTTTTGCTACAGTAAAAAGCTCTAACATAAAATCACATCTCAACTCGAATTCTAAATTCGAATCAGCGAAGTGAACGGGGCCCACGGCCCCAACTCCCCAACTCTCAAATGAAATGTCAATTTCCGTTAAAAAAAATTGAACCCCTTTATCATGTGGATGTTTTGCCACATACTTCTAAATTCAAAGGGCTAATCGCAAAAAAAAAAATAAATAAAAAAAAAATAATAATAATAATAATAAGGGAACATACTGCCAATGACGTACAAATTTAACGGGCAATTGTACAAATAAGTGATGATCATGTTATAGCCATTGTCCGCGATGGTAGTTGTCTTAAAAACGGTGACATATTTCTCCACTAAACTAATGTAATTTTGAGAAGACCGCAACTTATGCATTTTTTTGACAACAATAGTGTAACACCCACGTAGTCTAACCTTAATATTACTAAGTTATGCTAGGTGTTGTTACTCTTTTAAAATTTGTTTTTAACTTACCTTGAGCTTTCTTTAGATTGGTAACATTAAAATGTGGGACAAATTTAAACTTTTTAAGACTTTTTTTTGTGCAATGGTACAAAAATATGATTTTAGTAATTCTTTTGACTGATGTCCCATAAATACAATATAATACATATCCCAAAAATTAGATCCGACAGTTCTTACAAATAAAAACAAAAGCATAGTAAATAGTTAGTAACTCAATGCCTCAAACAGGTCAGCATCTTCCATATACAAAAGTCCTGGTACTAAGGATGACGCCAGCCAACCACTAAAATAATGTACATCTAATGCCGGGATGTGTCTTCATCTGCATCACCATAAATAAGTGAGCTAAAGCCCAATAAGTAGAATAAATGCGTGAATAAGTAATTTGAACATATAACATCACATCTTAACTTTAGCCTTTCCTATTGTTCCATTTCCATTTAGTATAACATTAATTATTCACTTTGTTACCTTTCTATTTCATCACTTGTATGCACAATTGTCGTGGCTATATCATTTTCTCTTTTTTTTAAGACCTTATGACCATTAATAATAGCATCATGAGTCTCCCAGAGACTTAGTGGTCCTAGACCTTATGGCCTTCACAATGATTATCACATGTCTCCTAGAGACTTAGTGGTCCCCGACCTTATGGCCAAATAAATATCATATGTCTCCCAGAGACTTAGTGGTTCTTACTATCCCCATCGGGATTGTTTTAGCCTCATTACTAATCACTACAAATTATCACTCCTTTTATTACTTTGGTGAATGTTTATCAACTCATTCCTTATATAGCATTTTCTTGTATTTTGTACCATGTACATACTTTATGCATTATACATATACATCACATAACAAAGTATCACAAATGTGTACTATGCACAATAATTATGGTGATACAGGTGATATTCTACTTACCTCGCACCGTATGACAAAAAGTATGACTTCGGAATTCCTCTTGGTGGATCCGATGTGAACAACTGTAATCTTGGGTATTTAAACGTACTATCATTAGTTTTGTGATTAATGACTTTGTTCCTTTCCTTCTAAAATAACCCAACGTATAGCCTAAAATGGCTCAACAAATTACACTTTTCATTTAAAGCCTCTAAAAACACCATTTTTTTCAAATTTTCCATAATTTAAAGATTTTACTTAAAAATATTCCATTAAAAAGAGTAATATGGGTGAAAATAACAAATTTTAGTAAACTATATCAAAAATGTCAAATTCAAACTTAGAACAGCTTAAAATGACTAAAAATCAGAAAAACGGGTCAAAAATCTAATTTTGGCACATACTTGGCTCAACGGTACGCGCAGGTGGGCACTAGGGCACCAACCGTGCGTACACAGCACACACAGGGCAGTACAGCGTGCTCAGGGCTACCAGCGCCCCATGCTGCGCTCACATGGACTGCCAATGCCCCACTGGTGCGCTCATAAGGCCTGCTGCAGCATGCTGGGCGCCCACAACATGCAGTGTGGTGCGCCCAGCCCTCCAAACTATTTTTTAAATTTTTTTCAGAGTTTTTCATGCATTTTAACACTCCCCAAAGCTTAGAATAACCAAATATAACCTGCAAATTAAATCAAAAACCCAAAAATATACACAGCTTTCAAATTCACCCCAAAATCACCACTCATCATGTGTTTCTAAAACTTTCCAAGGAAAAGCCTTAATTCCCACTTCCTACTTCAACTTATTATGATTCAATTCATTAAATAACATTTGAATCATACCAAAGAACATCCAAATAACCAGCAATTTAAAGGAAATTACATCAAAAATAAGGGAACTTAAAGAAATCCCACCTTTGTGAACCAAATCTATCTTTTCACTTGTAAACTTCACTTTCTTCACCTCCAATTCAAATGATTAGCTCCTAAATCTCTTATGAACCCTTGGAACAGACCCTAAAACAATCCCAAAGGATTAGAATACGAATTCATCACCAACCTTTAGAATAACTAAACTAGAATCACAAAATTCAACTTACACTAATTTCAATCTCTTGGTATTCCTATGATCAATCCTTCATCAAACCACTTAGAATGGCTTTAGTTTCTTAAGATTGCCGGAGAAGCAATTTGGAACCAGAAGAGGGTCGGACTAGAAGGTTTTGGGGCTGATTACTCCTCATCTTCTTGCTTAATACTTTCAAGAGACAAGTAGGAACCTTAATTACTTAACCATGAAGTACTCTCCTCTCCTCTAAGTAGAGTATCACCTTAAGTAGCTCTCTCACCACCTTCTCTTACACACAACACTCACAGAAATTCCCAAAGTATGAACAAGATCTTAGCCAATCATTTGGCCTACTAAAATTGGTGTATGAGCTTGCACCAAAATTTCAGTACGTGAGAAATCCTAACTTTACATCTCCCATACTTTTCATTCAATTTTGAACATCTAACATAATCACTTTCTATTTCATTCTTACCCTAATTATTATGATCCATAATTCCTTTAGAACCTTAATAAAATCTCAATTTGATTCCACAAACTCGAATGCCAAAATATGTTTAATTTAGGGCTTTTAAAGTAACACGATCATTAAACCCTTATCATCATCTCTTTCTTAACCTTATTTCAACCTTAGAATCACCTTAAGTAGTCTCTTTAGCACATTAACTCAAGTCCAAACCTTTCCACACATCAGACCAATATGTACATTTTCATTAAACTTGCCTTAAAGCCCCATTAGGACTCCACATTTTACTTTTCACTTAGTAATTCTTGTAAATATCATTAAGAATAAGTTGTTGTCCATTTCTCAACTTACCGAATCCTTCTCTTGGTCGGCAAGTGATCCTAAATCATGCCAGAACCCTCAAAATAAACGGAGCATAAATGACCTATTCAACCACACAACTGACCCATGATAGCCGGTTAACTCAACTTTATACCCCAAAGCATTACTTTTAAACAACACCACATGGAATGCAAAAAGCCAGTATATAAATAAATCAATCTAATACTAAAGTTATATAAGGAGAGGACCGTCGAGACGGTAGATAAGAGAAATGCTAATGTCAAATCCGAGTGTGCCTATATATATATATATAACACTTGTGTACGTATATATGTTTAAGTCATTTTTTATTGTATTTATATAAATTTCACTTTTTCAAATTTTTAAACTTTCTTTTTTAATAATAATCTTGCAATATTATAAAGAATTAGAATTAGTTATCTTGTAATAAATTATAAAACAAACTTTCAAGATTCTCTTTTTATTAGTAAAGAAAGAGATGGTGTAGTTGTAATAAAATGTAAAATAATGGTTTGTGGTTATGTTTGATTTTTATTTGGAAAGTTAAATAACATGTAGCAAGAAAAAACAAAGAATGTGAGAAAAAAAGAAACGATCGGCAAGTGATCCTAGTATTTTTTTAAACATGAAATATGAATCCCTAACACTATGTTTAGTAAGGGGGAGAGATGGAGCGAGAAATGGGTGAAGGGATGAAGAGAGTTGGAAGGGTGGAGAATGTGAGGGATGTAGATGATTATGGTAATCATTTGTGTCCTTTGGTAGTGGAAGAGAGAATTAAAAGGATGAATGAATGATTGCTTGTTTAATTATTTTTCTGTCATTTTCACTAATTTCATACTAAACTTTTTAAGGACAAAATGGTCTTTTTAATCTTTAATAGGTAGATTATATCATTGTATGGATCCTTCCATTAGAGGAAGGATGAAAAATGGTGAACCGAGATGGAGAGTCTCCCTCCACCTCTCTTCCCTCCAACCAAACAAGAGATTAAGACCCTCCCTCCACCCCCCTCTCTCCTACCAAACATACCCTAAATCCCTTCTTTGGTTGGAGGGAGAAGGCATGGAAGGAGAGAGTCCCTCCAGATCCACCACTTTAGAATCCTTTTATTAGTAGAAGGATTCAACCAATTTGTCCAAATTTAATTAAAGACTTTTACCTTTCAAAACAAATTATTAACAAATAGTTAAAATAAACAATATTATAATTAAATAAATAACTATCATATGTTATTTTAACTCTCCCTCCCTCCTACCAAACAACATAAAAAATTATCATAATTCTCTTTATCCCTTATATTTTTTGTCCGTCCAACTTTCTGTATCCTTTATTCTCTCCATCCCATTCCCTCCTACCAAACGGAGTACAAGAGTGTCACGTGTAATGCCTAACTAGGTCAACTCCAAAAGGGAAAAAAAATCAAACAATAGGAAGAAAACAAAGACTAGAGTTTCATATTGGAATTAATACATAACAAAAAACAAAAAACAAAAAAACAAAAAAAAAAAACCAATAATTCCACCAATGATGTCCATCACATTGATATAAATAAAAAAGAGCCGAGATTACCGCGCGGGTCAACCGAGTCAATACCCGAACCACCATTATATGAGCTGTCGTACTTGTACTTTGTTGTACTTTCAAAAGGCAAACCAGACAAAAACCATATTCCTAAGCAAACGACACAAAACAAAAAATCACTTCTCCCCACATGCGGTTCGTTCTTGACTCGAAACCCCTATTGTGCGACTTTCATCTCAAGCTCCTCCTAAACACAGCCTATACCATTTTCTTTTCTTAATCTTCTTATATTTTGAGTTTCTCAAAAAACAAAAGAGATGACGAAGTTAACAAAATAAGCTAAACAAAACACAGTTTAAGCACCACCTATGCCGACTATACGTTAAGAGCTGCTTTGATCTTCTGGATTGTGCAGGAGATGAGGTTGTTAACGGTCTCAACTGACTCCACGGTGAGCTTTGCAGTTGGAAGACTGTTGACAAGAATTTGGAACCCGACAGAGAGGAGGCACCCGCCACCGCCGCCTTCACCATTGCTGGCTTCTCCTTTCACGGAAGGTCCACTGCAATAATTCGGCTGTGACGAGCCATCGGGAAGAATGGCGAATCCCGACGGTAGGAGGGCCACGTAAGCTGAGTCCCCGCCATGCATTACAACATTTATCGATGCGCGGTCAACTGGGGCGTACACTACCATTGAGCCCGAGGCGTCGTTCCACGTTTCTTGCAGTATGAGCATGCTGCTGTCGTTTGTTCCAATGGTCTGAAAAGTTCAATATGGAAGCCAAATACTACGTTAGAAAAAGAAAAGAAACAATGAGAAAATGGAAAAGAAAGAAAGAAGGTATATATTATATTTTGATAACTCACACTGGCGCGAAGGAGAGAAACATGGTTGCCATGTCTTTGGCACTTGGTGATATGGACCATCTCTTGCATTGGTCCGCCATTCGACAGAATATCCCAGTCGCTCCTGAACCGTTCATCGCGCAAGAATTCAAATAGCCTCTTTTGCGACACTGGAATCCAAACAGAAGTTGCAGCACTCAAAATGATACCAGGTGGCTCGCCAGGGTCATCCATGCTTTTCCGGGTCATCACCCTCACATCTTCGCCAACAGTACCGACACAGAGCTTGTCCCACTTGCGCACGGTGGAGGCAGTAACCCCAGCACAGAAGTTATCCACCATACGCTGTGCCAGCTTTAGCATGCTTCTCTTACCGCTGGGGCTCATGGCTGTTGAATAGCAATAATTTGTTAGAAAATATCCGCCGAACTACGATGATATTAGTCACGGGAATTTAAAATCACGGGCACAGGGAGTAACCTAGTTGATTTTCATTAGAAATGGAAGGCGACGTGAGGATCGCCAAGCACTCGCATTGCCTTTGGAGGGTGGCAAGCCACCTCTGCGCACCAAAGCCCATTCCACAAATGAGATATGAGCGGAACATTTGATGAACACCGCTATCATCGTATTCCGAATGCTCAATCCAAGTAACCTGCAAATGATCATATTCCACCAACAAAGCTAATTCGCACCAAGCATCCATTACACAATGAATATTCTATAGGTCTTTCTTGTAGCACATCGGACAAAATTGCACGGCATTAATGATGCAATATAGTTACAATTTACAAATTGAATGTTCAAGCATCAATCTCTCATTCTGAATGGAAGTAGGGAAAAAACCGGATTGGTTGAAGCACTAATTAGTAATTTGATAGTTATAACTATATTAATCTAGGAAATATGTCAGTGTATTAGGAGTTATATGATTTAATAGTCCTAAAAAAAGTTCAAAAGCGCATTCCAATCCAATATTCCTAGCTAAAACTATATATTTGCTGAAAATATTTAGGGTTTTGAGAGACCAAAACTGGGAAACAAGGCAAAGGGTATCACATGCTCGTAAATTTACCAATAAGTTACTGATTTTAGCCATGAGGTCCAGTTAGCCCTACATAAAGCTAATCATATTTTTCAGACAGTTTGCAGAAGAGCAAGAAAATTTTGAGTTCCTTCCTATTATTCTAGTCAGCAAGGTCAAACACTTAGCTGTTACTTTGTTAATTTACCATACAGCCCCTAGACATTTTCCCATGCAGAAGAATGCCTAATAAAATGTGTCGTGAGAAATGCCCACTTAAGGGACAAAATGATACCCCGAGAGAATATAGAAATAAGAGTCTAAAAGATAAATATAATATCACCTAGAGATGAGTTGACATGAAACCCAAGGCAAGGATAAAATAATAGCAGAAATCAGATTCATGAAAAACATGAGGGGAAAAGTCAAAGTTCCAGAGGCACTTTCAGCAAGATATATCTGGGCAGATTATCTAGTATATATACAATCACAATATATATACATATATATATAGCTATTTTAAAAGTTCGACAACAAGATTTTCAGGAATATCTATTTATTGCGAACCTAATATAATGTTAGAAGGGAATATATGAGCACATCACATGAAGCTCAATATGTTATAATTAGAAAAAACTGGATCCAGGTCATTCGGCCTCGTGGAAAATAAAGAAATCGGCAAGAGAGAAGGAAAGAGAGGAATAGAAGCATCAAATAGATAGTTTAACAACAAAGATTGAGAAATCCAATGTTTTTTCTCTTGCTTTTATACTGGATATATAAAATTATGGAAATAATATATTAAGATTGAGAAAATCGACATGAACATAAACAATATAAGCTGTGACGACCCCTGATTTTCTCATCGTTTAGAGTAACTGTGGACTAATTAATAACAGACAATAAGCAAACCTTGCATTGAAATTTGAAGATTATATGATGATCAGAACCAAAAGGCATCTTTTAGAATAAAATAACAATAAAAGGTTCGGATTCTAAGGTAAAGTCCTACTATATTACAATAAGAGAAATCCCATAAAGGAAAGAGCCTTTTTTTTGGTGAGCAATAACAAGAAAATAAATTCTTTAGAAGCACTAGTCAAGAAAGATGGGGGAGTCCACGTACCAATAATTTCACTTAATTGTAGTCTCAACAGATCTCACACTTAACGCAGTTATTTCAACTACCCCATTAAATATCAACAAGGAAAATAACTCAATGAAGCCGGTAAATGCCAGCCCATAAGGGGTGTAAAAACAAAGACAACAAAATAAATAATCCAACATCATATGACGTTACCTTGGAATAGCCATCAGGCATATCTTGCACAAGACACCCAGAAGGAAGCCTCCTACAGTGGAAATACGAGTTTGCATTAGTAGCATCTCGGTTGATGTCGACGGAAACGTCGACCACTGCCCAGACACCATCCGCATGTTGCTTACAGAATCGAAGAAACTTTAGCGGACGAAGAGGGACCAATGGTGAAAGTACTTGAAGCTCGGCATTAATCTGCGAGATTAAAAAAAATTATACAGGAATTTTGCTTTTTGTGTAGCAAGAAAGGAGAAAATGAATAGAAGAAATTTCATACCACTTGGAGTGCGCCATTCCTTGTTCCACCTATCCCTGTGGAAATCATTTCAATGGTGGAGGCTCTAGCTACTAAACAAGGAAACATTTCCGTCCATCGATTCTAATGACAAAAAAAAGGGGAGTAAATTAAAGCAACAAAACAAAAGTCAAAATACTAATATCATTCAAACAACCTCACAAGTCACTCTTATATATTAGTAGAAACTTCCTATAAAGGTATCATGTTAAAAAGTAGAAAAAAAACAATGATTATCAGAGAAAATTAAAGCTCTATAACATAGACCAAAAAAACAGTAGAACTGCATACCGCATCCATCAGTGTCTCTACGAGAGCTAAACTGTTGATGATGACCACAGAGGAATCCCTAGTTGCCTCAGAAACATAATTACTAGGTTTTGGACCAATACAAGAAGGAAATGTCCTCATATACTCCTCATAATTCAACGTTTCTTTACCTCCATTTGTGCTCTTGATCCACAGCGGACCATTAGCCTGAGCCATCTTAATAAACTCATCCATGGCTGCCAATGCAAGATCTATCAACATCGATCTCTCGAAAGGGATTTCAGTTCCCATCACATTCATTCCCATTGTATGTTTCATCATTGGAATCATAGGCCCAGCGCTGGAAATCCCATCTCCCAATTCAAGTCCCATTGGCAGTGGAGCACCAACAACGTTCAAACCTCCCATCCCATTTCTTCCAACGGCAAGTTCCAAACTGGAGGTTGAGCTCGGAAGGGGAATCGGAGTGGCCAAGGACGAAAGAGGCCGTCCCAAGAACTTGTTTGCCAAGGCACATATCCGATTCAATTCGTCCTTCAGTCTAGCATTCTCAATCCTGAGCTGGTGCTCCTCGAAAGATATCTGACCGGGAATTGCGGGGCCACCACATTGGTTGCACATTGGAGTTGCCATGGCATCCTTCATCATGTTGTTCTCAGCTTGGAGCTTATCATTCTCTTGTCTAAGAATTATATTCTCATGGCGTTCAAGTTGTGTCTGATTAAAATTATCACAATATCATTTTCCCATTATTAATTACACAATTATCAAATACAAAACTCGGCATACATATTTTGCATATAAAATTAGCACAAAATACCTTCATTTGAGTTCGTCTATTTTGGAACCAAAATTTCACTTGCTTTGTCTCCAAGCCAAGCCTCTTGCTAAGTTCTAATCTTTGCTTTTCATCAGGATGTGGACACTCCTTAAAAAAACTACACCAAACCCAACACCAAAAAAAAAAAAAAAAAAAAAAAAAAAAAAAAAAAAAAAAAAAAAGAAGCAAAAACAAAATACTCTACATTAGCAATAAGAATCAATATATAGCAAATAAACAAGGGTATAGCAAAATAAGAATCATACGCTTCAAGTTCTTGGATTTGATTAGGAGTGTGTCTGTGGTACTTCTTCTTCTTCCGCGGTTGGTCGTCGCCGGCGTCTTGATCATCGCCGGATGCGCCTTCTAAATTGTCACTGCCGGACCTGCTCTCATACCCATCATCCCTCATCCTTCCAATAATTCCCAGATCAAAATTCTCCCCGAGTAGACCCATTTCACCGTGACTATCCATATTCCTCTGCACCCAAAAAAAAAAAAAAATTGTATCATTAAATAAACATGTGACATGCGCGGGCAAATTGAAAAGAGAAACTAAACAATGACTGAAAAAAAGGTTATGATGAAGCATTACTGTGGAAAAAGAAAAGACAGGGGAAGTTATCATTGAATTTTGATTTTGCTTAAGTGAGGAAAGACAAAAGTATGGCCTAATAATGGCCTTTTAGGGGCTTTGTGGAGCAATAACAGCCACATAGTCTTAAGCACCCTAAAACCTCTGTGCCTGATCAAACAAACCCACCTCCAAAAGCTCATCAAAAATTGAAAAGGCAAAAAATAAAGCGAAATTTTGTCTTCTTTTCCCAATATCTAATGAACCAGTCACCATCACTTCTAACAACTGTTATGTAATGGGATTTTTGAGTTTCTTTTAATACATATATTTTGACCTTACCCAGCGACTCCCAGATTCAGCCAAGACTGAAAATTGCATTTCTCAGTAGAAACAGAAAGAGAGAGGTGTTTCCTTGTCAACGCCCGTGCATGACACACACAGTCAAGTCCTCTCTCTCTCTCTCTCTGTGTGGAAAAAACTGTTCCGGATAGGGGAAGGGAAAAAGAGGGGAATAGGACAAGAAAAGTCCCTTTTTTATAATCCAAGGTTTCACACCTCCCTAATTCTCTCTCACTCCAGACCGGTTTTAAAAATAAAAGTCTCTGAAAAGGATATGCAACGAAAATGTTTGTGTGTGTGAATGGATGTGAGAAAAGGCTTAAAAGTGTTCTAGCTTTTCTGCATCATGGTGGCATGGCATATGCGTATAGCTTGATTAATAGTTTGGCAGTATCCGAAAGAGACCTGAACTGGATGAAAAGAGAGAATGAGAAAAGGGAGCTTCAAGAACTACGGCTGAGAAAAAGGGTATACAAAAGATACAAGAAAAAGGTTAAAAAGGTTTCATCTTCTAAACATTCATACCATTCCCACACTTCAGCCTTGACTTTTCAAATGTGACGCATAAGATAAAATAACAAAATCCAGGCAAAAAGACCCAGTTGACCCCTCTCTCTCTCTCTCTCTCTCTCTCTCTCTCTCTGATATATGGTTAGATGACATACAAAAGCAAAACCAACCCCAGTACGGAGAAAAGGGAAACCTTTTAATTTGACAGTAGGCAATAGTAAAGGCCAAAGAAGAGTCTATTTCTGCCACACAGCAAAGAAGTTATGGACTTTCTCAGATCTCTCTCTTCTCTCTCTCTCTCTCTCTCTCTCTCTCTCTAGGATCTGAGGAAGTGAAAAGGACAGACGAAAATATATATATATATTATTTGATTAAGGGGGCTAATAAATGTTATCTTAATTTTATATAGTAAGGGAAAAAAAAAACAAGTCTTGGAAGGTTGGGAAGCTGACTTAGGAAGGACCCACACAGGAAATCAAGGAGTCAATGAGTTTGTTTTCTACTATTTTGTTATATAGAGGTGTGTATATATATCTACAATAGTGCTGTAATCAAACTCGTTATGCCAAGCCTAGATTGAATCAAGAATAAAACCCAAATGGGCTCTTTTTCCATGCACAAGAAATTTCGATGGAAATCTCTTTTTTCTAGTTATATAGTTTCCTTTTGTCAAATATTATAGGGAAAATTTGCCAGCGAAAGAAAAAATGGGGTCTAGTGAGGCGGGACCCACGGCCCTGAAACTGGGGTTCGAGAAATCCGCCCCAACTCGGACTTCACGCGGGCACACGCGCGTACGTGGGGCTCGCTCTTGCTGTCTTTTGTCTGTCTGACATTAAAATCAAGTGTGGTCGGTCGTAGATGATTCGTGATATTGACCTCTTCTAGCCAATCAAACAGCGGTTTCAGTGAGGAGAAGAGTAATATGGTCATTCTGTGAATATATGGGGGGTACTTTTGTACTTTCAAGTAATGGAGGACAAAGGACATAGAAAATCAGACCCAATTAGGCTTCGGAGATAGTTCGATTAATCTCATTACGAGGAAAAAAAAAAGCTAGAACTACGGTTCTGTCTCTTTCTATTTTTATTTTTTTTCCTTCAAGATATTCCACTTAGGTTTACTTTGCAAATTATAACTTATGTCGGTTAATGTCCGTACCGTTTGAAATAATAATAGTATTTTTATTTTTAAATAGTGAAAGATTTAAATTTGTCACTTTATGATAAAGTCAAATATAAAATTATTGTTAAATTTGCAACCATATAATAATAATATTTTTCGCTTTAAAAGTTTGTATTTCCTCCTTAAAGAACATAGAGCCTGCGTGATTCTTTTATGGTATAAGTTTAACTTACTTCAAACAACTTAATTTTAAGTTTAGTGTTTATAATCTTTGCACATAATAAATTTTCTTGCATGTTTTTTTTTTTAAATAATAATTTACTGGATAAGCTATAAAGGTTCTAAATTTCTTGTGAATACATTAAACTTGGATACTAATTAAAAGCTGTATTAATCTTTTTCGTTGTTGTGGGTGAGTTATTAATCTATCCCTCCCCTTCTTTACGTACAAATTATTTATCTCTCTAAAATTATTGAGATGTAAAAAATACATTACTAAATAATTAGATCGTGATGTGATCAGAGATGTATCTTTTAGAGTAATATACTTCTTAGAGATAAAAATGCAACAGTCGACCTTGTAAATCTTTGTTTATGTGATTCAGATTCGGACGATAATGATTAGTATGAGTATGCTTAGAAGTTCAAATATCTGTGCAATGGGATCATTCAAAATTTTAAGTTAAGAAACTGAATATGAGTTCAGTGAAATCAAATAATGGTTCTACATTTACTTGATTAACCCCCCAAGATATGGGGGTCTCTACAAAAAAAGAAGATTGATTAAATACCTCACTCACTAAAAAATGCTCATTTTAAAAAATTATATCTTTTAACTAGTTTTAGTTTAAAAAAGAAAAATATATGGGTTAATGTTAAAAAATAAAAATAAAAATGATTACATTTTAAGGGGTATTTCTGAAAATTTATCCAAAAATACTACGGGAGAAAGAGAAAAATAGGCCAAGACTTGAGATGAATTAAAATTAATATGCCAATAGTTTACATAAGTTAATAAATAGGTCAAATTATTGTTTTCGTTCATAACTTGTCTGGTTATGAACTATAACTTGACAAGTTATTGTCAATAATTCACAGTTTTTATCCATAACTTGTCTAGTTATGAACCATAACTTAATAAGTTTGTCCATAACTTATCTGGTTATGAACCATTGACAAATTATGATCTATTAATTTCTATAACTAAAAATTTGTTTATATACTCATGATCTCAAGCCCAAAACATTATAGAATGGGAATATTTCATTCGAGCCTTTGCCCACCCCCAACTGCAAGTCCACAATAGCATTCGACATTTTCAGTCATATATAGATTTCCAAACAAACTTTCGGCACATTATAAAGTTTGGCATGTAACGGTGATTGTTGGTGGCGCGGTGGGTAATTGTTCCTTCACAGAAATTGAATTTGAAAGGGCGTTTTGTCGGCAGTGAAGGACTATTATGTAAGATCGAAAGGAACGTTGTCATCTATTTGCTGGCAGGCGGTAGCCTGGTACAATTGTGATAAAAGTTGCTGTACAGAGAAACCAGTTCTTCGGTTTCTGGATACACATATCTTACTAATTGGATAGACGCAGAATTAACTCAAGTTCTATTTAGTGGGGGGAAAAAAAAAAGGTAAGTTGATAATGGAATTTTCTTTATGATTGATATAAAATACTGCTTCACGGGCTATAAATTTTGATTGGAATTTATCTAATGGGATAGTAATCTGATTTACATGCTTATTAAATGGAAATGCCTCATAATTAGGATCTTATAGCTAGCAGCTTCCTCATGAAGTACCAATTAAAGGCATGTTTAGTTCGTTAATTCGAATTGAGATGTAATTTTATGTGAGAGTTTTTTATTGTAGTAAAAAATTTAAATGTGACTATTTTTAAGAATTTTTTACTGTAACAAAATTCGAATTCTAAACTCGAATCGGTAAAATGAACGTGGCCTAATTATATCAAAGTTGATAAAAATTAGATTAAGGGCCCGTTTAGTTCACTGATTCGAGTTGAGATGTGACTTTATGTGAGAGCTTTTTACTGTAGTAAAAAAGTTAAATGTGACTGTTTTTTAAAACTGTTTACTATAATAAAACTTAAATCGGTGAAATGAATATGACCTAAGACACGCACAATTTTATGTTACCTCACCGGATACAAAGTGGGCCATACATATAGCTATTAGCTAGGATGATGGTATGTGTGTGAGGTAGAATTTATTTATTTATTTTTGTTTTTCTGACTGCCTGATCAACTGTAGTGTATATATTTTGCAAGTTGCGTGGTCTCTCTCGGTCGATCCTATCATGGCACTTGACACGGTACTCGCAAGCCTCGACCGAGTATATAGGGTCGACAGTATTGGCCTCCTTATGCACTCGGTTCTCATATCATGTAGAGGAGGAAATCTTCTTAGGCGTTGAGGGCTACCTGGCGTGACAGACATTGAGTCACGTGAGGTATGGTCGTTGTCCAACGTGTCCGTGTGAATTTTTTCACACAACAGTAACTGTCATTTTGTTGAATTTTTTAAAAAAAAGTTATTTTTTTAAGTAGAAAAAGTGTTTTTTTAGTTAGTCTCATAAATTTGTTATGTAGTATAATTAATTAATATTAAAAAATGATGCAGTTTTTTTTTTTTATATTTTAGAAAAGCAACTTTTGGTAGGTGGAAAAACGGTTAAAATAAATAAAAATCAATCACAGTTTTTTAAGCCCCAGAAACGGTAACTTCCAGTTAGTGGGTACCGGGAAAACAACGGAAGGCTTTAATCCCAATTCCCACGTCCGAGAGTATTTATTAATCTAGTGCCTCTCCCATTAAACTTACCCAGAACATAAACCACTAATATCTCACCACGTAAACAACAGCCGCTTCTCGGCAACTTACAAAGCAAGATAACATGAAATATCACGTGCTTCATCTTGACGTGTAAAACAACTATTGGCTGAATTATTTAGCGTACGTACGGATCAATAACTTTTTAAACACGTTTCAAGCTCACTGTGGCAGTTAGAAAACCTGAAACTGAACTACCCAGTTGCCCACATATATACACACACATATATGTATCTGTATATATATATATATATATTCTCTCTTTCCGTGTCCACTCCATTGAAAACCCCCTTCACCAACTCCATCAATCCGAACTCCGAACCTTCTCTATCTCTAAATTCTCAAGTCTAATCTCAATCCCACCAAACTTTCCAGGAGAGAAAAAGTTTAGTGAGAGAAAGAGAAACAGAGGGAATGGCTGAGGAAGATCTGGAGAGCAGAGGAAGATCAGGAGCGAAGAACAGAGGAAACGACAACAGCCACTCGTCGACGTCGTCGTATCGGACAGAGGATTTGGATACCCAATGGACTTCTTGGTTGGTGCCGATGTTCGTGGTGGCGAATATCGCCATGTTTATTGTGGTCATGTTCGTTAATGACTGTCCGAAAAACAATTCTGGGGTACAGGGCAAGTGCGTGGCAAGGTTTCTCGGCAAGTTCTCCTTCGAGCCTTTGAAGGAGAATCCTCTATTTGGCGCTTCTTCTTCGACGTAATACGATTTTTTTTTTAAAAACAAAATTTTTTTTGGAGTTTATTCAATGAGTGTGTTAATTATGTGGCTTTTCCATTTAAGAGTATGAATTTCGGTTTCTTAGGGGTCTTTAGTTTATGTGAATCTCTGATTTTCCTTTTAGAATGGTTCTTTTCCTCCGAGCATTTGCATTTTGAGAATTTACTTTAATTGGATTGGTTTTTGATATCTATCTCTTTTGTTCTTCTTGTCTGTTTGATCCAGCCAAAGACAGATTGATTATGTTTGATGTCCCACTTGTCTTTGAAGGAAGTAAATTTGGCGGGAAAAGTTATGCCCGTGCAAGCTAATACATGATTACTTCATACACAATATATCAAAGCGATTTTGATTGTACTATCATAAACTATAGTACGAAATTGCTTATGTGCCTCTAACTTGTTAAGATAATGGCCGTTCTAATTGTCTTCACTTTTAATTTAAGCCTAGCTTTGTTGTTGATTTTGGTCTACATATTTGGTTTTCATATGCTTGGGGCTCTTGAGTGGAAGTTACAATATATTGATTGAGAGTTTAGAAGTAACAAGTCGTGCATGGAAAATTGAAGCTTTTATAACTTTTGAAGGTTGGAGAAGTTGGGAGCTCTTGAGTGGACCAAAGTTGTTCATAAGCATCAAGAATGGAGGCTTTTCACTTGCATTTGGTTGCACGCCGGCGTCATTCATCTCTTCGTAAACATGCTCAGCCTCATCTTTGTCGGAATTCGGTTAGAGCAGCAATTTGGATTTGGTATGATCTCTTTGCTCCTTTTCTTGTGTTATAAAAAGCTATTTTCTATTTTTCTTTATGTTTTTTCAGATTTAGTACTTATATTAAAACTCCGTATATTTTGGTTGTTTTCTTTTGGTAGTGCGGGTTGGTATTATATACCTATTTTCAGGCTTGGGGGGCAGCGTGCTTTCCACACTATTTATTCAAAATAACATTTCTGTTGGTGCCTCTGGCGCTCTCTTTGGGCTACTTGGAGCTATGTTGTCGGAACTCTTCACAAACTGGACTATCTATTCCAACAAGGTAAACAATACTCCATGTGTTTCGCCCTTGCATTTAAATTAAAATCTTTTTTTTTTGGTGATAAAAAGCTTCGCGGTAATAGTCTTTTTGTTTGTTGTAATAGGCTGCAGCTCTGCTTACTCTTCTTGTCATAATCGTCATAAACCTTGGGATCGGAATTTTGCCACTTGTCGATAACTTCGCACACATTGGCGGGTTTCTAACGGGATTCCTGCTTGGCTTTGTGCTGCTGCCGCGTCCACAGTTCGGATGGGTGGACCAACACATTAACCTTCCTGCTAGCGTTCCTATCAAGTCCAAATTCAAGCCATACCAATATTTTCTATGGCTGCTTTCCATTGCTTTGCTTACTGCCGGGTAAGTTAACGTGCGGACAATGGCAAAAAAAACTTTTTGTTTTGTATAAATTTGACCCCTTTTTTAGAAGTAGCTTGTTTTTTGTTATTGACTTGAAACAATGCAGGTTTGTAGTTGCATTCCTGATGCTCTTTCGAGGAGAGAATGGGAACGATCACTGCCATTGGTGTCACTACCTCAACTGCGTTCCCACTTCTAAGTGGGATTGTGTATGAAAATACTCACGCGTTAAGGAAACTCTTTTTAGTGAGTTTCTTTTCTTTTGCTTCTTTTGTAAATGCTTAGTTGTTACAGTTATTGGCTTATTTTCCATCTTACTTGTTCCTTCCTTTTTCCGTTTGCTTTGGCGAGCCAGTATCATTTATATGGTGCATTGTCATTTTTTGTTTGTTTGTTTTTGGTTAGGCTTCTTGTCAAGTTTCATGTTAAGTAGCAACTTCTTTTCCATGTTAGTTGGAGTTTGTTCTGTGACAAAATCTGTGGCCAACTGCATGGGAAACGACCAACTAATTAAATGATTTATTTTTATTAGTCGAATTCTAAAGGCTTAGCACCCATAGAAATGAATCCATTTTATTAGTCAAATTCTAAAATTATAATAACGTTAAGAAACAGCAATGTTTAGAACCAAAAAAAAAAAAATTACAAACTAAAATCTGATACAATTTAGAACAAAATTAAAAATAAAACCAGACTCTGGCGTCGCCCGGACTCGAACCGGAGACCTTCAGTGTGTTAGACTGACGTGATAACCAACTACACCACGACACCTTGCTGGTTTATTTGACTTCCAAAATATTATTTTAACAATAATATACAACTACACATATTTCGGTAAAAAGTTCATTCAACTTTCATGAAGCAACACATTCTTCATTGCACACCAACTCAAGGCTCAACACCATATGACAGGCACTATAAACCAACATCTTAACTTCAATTTTCTTAATAATTATAATAATAATAAAAAAGCCAAGTCTTGAGTTAAACAACATTTGTTTTTTTCTGGGGGGGGGTGTTTTTTCTCAAAATGGGGACGCAAAAAATGAGTATTATTATTGGAGTGTTGCTGTATTTTTCACTATGGGCCTCATTGGTATCTTGTTCACCAGAATGCTCCACCGTGACAGAACTCTTCTCTGCCTGCTCCACCTTCATCACATACGGTTCCCCTGACCCTTTCCCTGGGTCTCCTTGCTGCCACGCCATGAACAGCCTCAATTTTGATGTCATTGCTGACTCCATTGAACAACGGAGATTTGTTTGTCACTGCTTAATGGACCTCATCATGGCCTACAATTCCAATGCCTCTACTATTGCTGCCTTGCCTGGCTTTTGTGGCATCTCTTTGGGCTTCACTATTGATCCCAATACGGATTGCAACTTGTAAGCCTGGCCCAAGACCAATTCACAATAAATTTAACTTTTTTTTTTTTTTTTTTTGGTAATTTCTTATGTTGCTCGCTTTCATAATAATGTTTTACATCATAATGCAGAATAGTATAAGCTTTGGTTCAATATAGAGAAATAAAAAAATGCTATTCAATTTACAGCTTTAGTGTTATTTTACCCAAAGCATAGATGTTACTTTTGTTGCTGCTTGTTGATATTCCAAACACTGGTATTTTGTGCGCGTGGGGATGAGTTGGAGGTGTAAATGACCCGCGAGTGACCAATTTTCCTTTTTGATGTTTGTTCTAAAATTCGAACAACCATATATAATTACAACAAAGAAAAACGTTTTGGTGGGGCAACATTCTTAATTGGACCCATCATGGGACTATTTAACAGGAAAAGAGGCTGTTTTCTTTTGCTTTCAAGGGGAAAATGGTGAAAAGTTCGCTCGTTAAATTCCACTCACTACATGATTTAATAACCGAAATGATATCAGACTTTTTACCGATCACGCTTTTATAAGAAAGTAGTTAAAAAGAAGTAAACTTTTAGATTGCCATGTAAAGATTTCATACCCGTAACCTCATTTTAACGGCTAAAGGCAATTTTACTAAGCATGCGCTAGTTTAGTGATGTTGAAACTTATTCTCAAGTGGTTTGATAGATTTCATATTCGAGTCTCATGAAAAGTGTTTTGAGACTATTTTTCTGGTTCAATATTGGTTCGACTTTTTACGTTTCGTCCCCCACTTTAAAGTCCTCATATTTTACTCTACCTAAAAAGCATCTAGAGGCCAGAGTTGGTGATAGAATTGATTGACAATATTCACTGGATGGACCATTATACATTCTTTCAACAGCATAAATTCTTACTTAGATCAATGTTCTTTTTTTCTTTTTTTTTTTTTCCCTTCATAAGGATCCGAGGCATGCATTTTGTTTCGACGTGGATTCCCGCTAGTGCGAGGAATTAGGACGTTTTCTTGTCATTTTGTTAGTAAAGCCATTTAGTACAAGCTAGTGATTAGTGTAGGCCAGCGACAAAAGTTAAAAAGAGGATGTAATCTCCGTGAACGTGCAGTTAGATAATATCATATTATGTGAATGTGATCACAAATTTTGGAAAGTTTATTGTGGTAAGAAATTATTATAAAATATTTGAATTCAAAATACAGATTGTCATTGGTTGTGTTATATTTAACTTGTCCACGTTCACCCCAATTATTTCTCTTTTAGTCTATCAGATCTCTGTAGTTATCCACTTTTTTGCTTTTCTTCAATCAAGTTCTAGCTAAAGATTAGATTCCTAATTATTTGAGGACAATGCCAGTTGTGGCTGATAATATGACTTTCCACGACACCAAACAGAGAAACAGAATTTCGATACAATCGTACGGTGGAGTTATGGCGTTCTTTTACTTCTGTCAAAGAACATAGTTTACCAAAATTATTTATTTCATATCAATTACCATGCTGAGATGTCCTAAGCTAATTAGATATTTTGAGTCCCTTAGCAATAGTGATTACATTCTAATCAGGATTTATCAGATGCATATTACTTTTTTCTGATAGGATCATTTTTTATATAATCTCAAGATTTTAAGCGCCCGTCAATATTTAAATTTAGTACAAAAAAATACTTTAAGGTACCATCGACATTAAACACTACGAAATAATAGGTGGACTCTAATTGTGGACTCATGCTGCGAGACTTACTTTCTATTATCGATGATGTCCAGCACTATCAACGCCCTATAACATAGCTCTTTAATAAGCCAAAAATTCTTCTAATTTGGCCGAATCAACAGCGTCTTGAATAGACCATTTTTGAAACTAAACAAAAGAGATGTAAAATCTTCTATAATGGACAATAAGGACAGAAAAAGAAGTCTATACGCAATGCTGATCACTTCAATGAGACCAATATGCAATGAATGCTTAAAGATGGATCATAATTGTAAAACGGTCACTGTTTACATGTGCTGAAAAGTGCATGGCACTAGGGAAATCACATCATAAAGATGCCTTTAGGAAAGGCAGAGAAATACGAATTAAAAGCAATAGGCCATCACAAGAATAGTAATTCTTTAATGTTAGGAACACTTCCACAAAAACACAACAAAACTTACACTTGAACAAAGTCGAATAGATGAACATCCTGTTTGACTATCCTATCCACACTGTCAAAGCTCACAGTCAGCACTCTGAGCAAACTCCTAAAACTGCTTCCCCACAGTAAAATAAAGGAAAAAAAAAAAGAAAGAAAGTAAAAACACAATTATCTTAAGCTAGCACTCCCAAACTTATCCATGTGGTTAAAGGACGGATAAGCACTTCTCCTTGAATTAGCATCCAGGATAGTATTCGTATCCGAATGTGTCCATCCATCCCAATATTCTTGAGCAGACCTTTTGGTTGTGCCATATTTCTCGAACTCGAGCCTCTGTCTCGGGGCACTCTGTGACCTGACCTTAGCCCTGGATGACTCCGTGTTAGCCATGTAGTTTGGATGGCCTGAGTACCCACTGAAGTAGCCCCATGAGCGCTCAGTCTTTGCCGGTGTGAAGGGACCTCTTCTTGCACTACTGCTACCAGGTCTTGACGAGGCAGAAAATGTTTGTGGACTGTTTCCAGCTGTCCTCCCATCTCCTTCATCCTTTTCTATAGGATGTTTGAAATGGTTCAATGAGAAGGCTTTGATCGAGGACATATTTGGTTCTGGATTTGGAGCTTTTATCGAGCGCTTTGATGGGGAGTCAAATGCTGCAAAGCTCCTGTTCTGATATTCTGAAGCCAAAACATGTCTTGGCATTTGGAACGTTCGAGTGCTTCGTTGGGAATCCAAGTGAGGCTTCCAAGTATCGACTTCGAGGATCTTGTCATTTTTTTCATCATCGGCATGGCTAGGCCCATATCTCATTGAAGAGCCTTGGCAGTTGTTCCATACACTTTCCTCCATCCAACGATCTAACCAATTCGATCCCGTCCGTGTTTTGTCAAGGTTCACAACATCCCTGAAGTTTGAATTCGAACCACACCTCTACACATATACGTTGAGATGAAAAAATGACATTAGGAAAATAAGAGAATATCTAGACTTTGTGATGGCATGAAGATCAATTTCTAGGAAAGTTCAACCTGTTGAAGAATGTCTTTTTGGATTGAATTTTTGAAAGAAAAAAAAAAAGATTTCTAACATCTTTTGAACTTCAAAATTCTGCTTCATAAAAGCCATAAAAGGTCATTAAAAATCAAATTGAAGATGATCTAGAAATGAAGGAATCCAATAAAATTGGCTTAAGTAGGAGCTAAAAAAATATATCCATCAAAACTGTAAAGAAACAGAAAGTGAACAATATTAATACCTTAAGAATAGAGGGACCATCATATTTGCTACTATAAGCACGTTGTTGATGCCTATTTTTGTCAGGATTTTCAGGGAACTGCACGTTGAGTAAAAACCATAAGTTCGAGTTCACATCGCTGCCAAATATTAAAATTCAAATACAGAAGAATGGTACAGTTTGACAATACACTAAGATGGTGATTGGTAAGAAAGTGCGAGAAGTGTCAGTCATGGGCCTTATCAACTTGTGATCAAAATATCTCATACCCCAACAATACGTCAATCTTATAACTATAAAAGAAAAAAGCAAATTTGTTCCACCTATATAAGGATAAAAGAACCAAATAAGCACCCACATAAGGATAAAAGAAATGCCATGTTTCTAGAAGAGCATCAGATGTCTAGAGCAATTTTAACTTACGGGGTGTTTTGGAAGGGAGGATTTGCTGAAAGAATGCAGGGGTTCCGACACGTGGGTGCGATTTGCACGCGCTCGGGCTTGGACTCGCACAAGTGTCTGCATCCGCCGGAGCATGTCCGATGTTTGTTTTCTCACAATGTGGCCTCTAACCAATGCTTGAAGCTTCACCAATGCTTTAAGTGCCCTCAAGGCTCTTCTAGCCTTTCAAGAATTTCCCGAGTACATATGTCAAAACAATTAAAACCCCGTTTATTTCATAAATTTAAACAATTGTTCAAATATTTTCATTACAGTATTTTCTCTCGTAAAATTTAAATTTTTATGTTTAAACCTTTGAACCAATTCGTCAATAAATTACCTCTCTTACAACTAGCTACTAGATACCTACTTTACCTAACACTTTTAGACATTATGATACTGTCCTATGGTTGCACAACAGCTCGGGAATTTAAAAAGATTCAAATTGAGGGGCATTGACTTTTAATAGAGGGCAGGGCAGAGTCTTGTGGACGAAATCATTACTATCATCACACAAGGGCATCAAGAATAATAAACAAATAAGAAAAAGAAAAAGAAAAAAAAAAAGGTGTGACATCCATAGCTTAAAATAACAGTGCTATGTAAGGCCCGTTCACTTCACTAATTTGAGTTTAAAATTCGAATTTTATTACAGTAAAAAGCTCTCACAAATAATTACATCTAACTTTTTTACTACAATAAAAAATTTTCACATAAAATCACATCTCAACTCGAATTACAAACTCGAATCAGCGAAGTGAACGGGCCTAAGGCTTTACAAGTTCTCATTTGCTTTTACACCAGGGAAAGAATAATGAGAAGAATTGTTCAAGTTAATGGACTTTGGAACCGTTTGGTTCGTAAATTTGAACAAAACAAATTTTGAATCAAACAATGTAATAAAAAGGTTTGAACCACGCGGTTCAAATCTACAAACCAATGGCCATCAATTTGGTACCAAATTTTCCCAAAACCTCCATGAACACCATTAACAAAGGTCAAACTTGTTCTTGGTTTGAATCTCAACTTAGCAATTAACAAATAGAAAATAAATTCCAAATAAAAGGAAGAACTAAATAATATATAAAATTATATTCATCTAAGGATAAAATCTCATCACTCACAAAATGGTCGATCCTATCATGTCCAGTAGAGACCCACAATTTTAACCCATGAGATGGGATGAATATGGGTGGGTACTCAATAATAAATTATCAAAAGTACTGAAGGAGGGTATTGTTGGGCCATAATTGCCAAGCTGTAAATTGGGTAAATGGGTATGGGAATGGCGCACATCTATTAGAACAAGACAAGAGTCCAACTTGTGCCGTGTTGCCCATTCCTCTGCATAATCCGGCTTTGGAAAAAGAAAACGAAAAATGCGGTGAGGAAAGTTTTGGTCACAGGCAACGTCCAAACAAAAATCAAAATACGGAATATCTTTTAGCCAACAACTTGACGACACGTCACGCGTTTAAATATTCAATACCAGAATTACCCATATGTGATGACCTGGCAGTTACTCATCTACGGGTAGGCGCATCTTAGCTCGGTGAGTTCTAGTGTTCTAGTACAGAAAAATGTCTACGATCTAATGATAACACAGAGAATCACTTATTCCGTGGCTGCTCTGACAGTGAATGACACACGTCCACAAGTGTCGGCGCAATTATTTCTAATTTTATTTTTTCTTGAAAAGAATTTCATTTATAACCGAACCTTCCGAACCAGAACCATTTTCCCCAAAACTGTGTTTGTTTCCCGAGAAAAAAACTAAAGCTCAATAAAAAGACAACAAAGGAATTTTCTTTTTAAGAGAAAAATCTTTAAAAAAAAAAATTCAAGCTTTAGATTTTATTTTCGCGGTTTTTAAGCATGATGAACAACGAGATTCATATAAAAACAATGATTTAAAAATGACGAATTAACCAATAGGCAAAAGCACCGCCGGAGCGAAATTCTAGCTTAAAAGTTCGAGGATTTTAAAGAAGAAAAAGTAAAAAACTAACCAGATATCCACGGAAAGCCGATTGAATCTTAATGGCCGCCACGTGGCGGTTCCTGCTAACATGCGCAGCGACGGAAGAGCTCCCAGCACCGCCGCTATTCGTCAGCCGCACAACCTCGGCAGCCGCATGAGCCGCCGCGAGAGCGGCTTCAGCTACAGCAGCTGTCGCGGCGGCTACGGCTATCGCATGCTTGTTGGCGTCCAAGGCGGCGCCGGGGTACGGAATATCGGAGGCGTGAGCGTCGGAGTTATTTGGGACTTGGGCCTTGTCCTTGGAGGAACCCTTACCCCACCTCTTCTTGTCCTTAACCGGCGGCGAAGTGGTGGGCCTTTTGGGGCCGAAGAGTCGCCGGAGAAAGCCCATGTCTCATTGCTGGGGAAATGGCCCGCTGAGCTATAAGAGAGAAGTGGTTCCGGCGAGGCACGGCATGTGAATTCAACTAAAGAAATGAGTGTCGGAACTGATGGAGAGAGGGAGAAGTTTAATATGTATTATGTAGTCAGAAACTAGCAGAGTTCGGATTTAGGGAATTTTAAGGACGCGCTATTGAGGGAGCCGTAGCTCACGCTCTAGTCTTTCTTTTTTTTTTTTTTTTTTTTTGAGAATAGTCTTCTCCTCTTCTCAACCTTTATTATATGAGAATTTCTCAACTACTCTCCTTTTTATTTTTTACTGTTAAATTTAATTAAAATCACATTAATTAAAAAATATACATATAATATATAAATTTTAAAATAAATTTAACAATTTAAAAATAAAAAAATATTAATAATTTATTTTTAGAGAGTCTGTTAGAAAAAAATCCCTTATTTTATTATAAAAAATAACCTTTATATTAGAATTAAAAAAATGTTTTATTTCCGAAGCATTCTTGACTTCTTATTTCTAAATGAGTTAAAAGATTAACATGGTAATATTGTGTGAGTCGTCTTATTACAATAAGTAACGAACCTTAACATTTATGTGAGTTTCTGATTTATTTGAAAGATATAGTGATAATTAATAATACTATTATTATTAGGGCACGTCTACGGTAGGGTGAGCCAATTCACCCTATCAGTAAAGTGAAATTTTTAATGATTCATGTTCGATCTTAGTGATGATTTATATAGTCTCTTTCACATGTAATTACAACCCAACTCAATAAAAATACTTATAGAACAACCTTATCTTTTTATAAAAATACAACTTGTCACCCCATATTCCACATAAATAAACAAAATCTCCTCTTAGATGCTGGCCACCACTCATGGACCCTCGACGGCGTAACTCCGATGACATCGCCGAAACAAACACCAAACTAATATCCAAATTATTGTTAAAAAAAAAAAGAAAAAATTAAAGGGCCGTTTAGTTGGCTGATTCGAGTTTTTAATTCGAGTTGAAATGTGATTTTATGTGAGAGCTTTTTACTGTAGCAAAAAAAAAAAAAAATGTGACTATTTATCAGAGTTTTTTACTGTAGTAAAACTCAAATTCTAAATTCAAATCAGTGAAATGAACGATGCCTAATTAACCAAACTAAACCGTTGCTACTGTATGCACAAATTGATTTCATAAACCAAATAGCAAACTAAGACCCAGATTCTCACAAGTTTTTTCCTTAAAAAAAAAATTTCCGTTGATACACAAGTTAATTTCCAAACAAATTAATTTCATAATACAAAATAATAGTGCAAACACTAAGATTTTAGCGAAGAACAATATCAAATTTCGGCGAAGATGCAAGACTCATATTCTCACAAATTTCTCCTAAAAATTATACTTTCGCTGATACACAGAATACTTTCCAACACGTTATTTTCACAATAAAAAAGTAATAGGGTAAAACCCATCTTCACGGTATTCTTACCCATTGTTCGTGAAACCCATATTTTGACAACTTGTGAACCCACAGTTTGTTGCCGGAGTTCTTGTCCACCGTTCGTGAGACCATCACCTAGGCTGTGAACCCACTGTTCTTAGATAGCGTTATTGCCCACCGTTCATGAGACCCGTCGCGTGAGTTGCGAACTCACTGTTGTAGCCAGAGGTGGTTGCGAAACCTATCGAGTAGGTCACGGTGATTTAACGAGCGGGAGGCTAAGGGTGGGGCGCAATGAATATCCAGTGGGAGACTGGGTAGAGATTTAGTCGAAAGGGTTCCGGTGTGAGGCTAAGTGGCGGTGCAGGCGAAGGGGGAGCCGCAAGGGTGATCGGAGGGACGAGTCGATGATAACAAAAAACTGAATGAGAAGTGACTCTATGTAAGGCCCGTTTAGTTCGTTGATTCGAGTTGAGATGTGATTTTATGTGAGTTTTTTTACTATAGCAAAAAAAATTAGATGTGACTGTTTTTAAAAGTCTTTTATTATAATAAAACTCGAATCGATGAAATGAACGAGACCTAACAATATATATATGGGCATGTCTATGGTAGGGTGAGCCAATTCACCCTATCGGTAGGTATTTTATTCTTAGCTGTTGGATTGAAATTTGACGGTCACAAAACATAAGCCCTACCACATTTGATTCTTTTTCATTAATATTTGATTCATAGATTCAGAATCATGATTCAGAATTATTCTTGGTTTACCTATGTTTTTTGTGAGAAAAAATACTGTAATAAATTATGAACCATAATTCGAATCGTGACACGAATCTACTAACCAAACACACAAGCCAAAATAAACATCAACCATTGCTCTGATTAGTTTTAATCTCAACCCTTGGATTCCAAAACAAACCTAAACTTTACAAGATATGAGATTCTTCCCCATAGCCGCCGCCACCATCCAGCGAAGCTCCTCCCACGCCGGCGATGATGGACTTCTCCCCGGCCGACGACAGACCTCGCCTCCTGACAACGAACTTCGCCCCTCGACAACACGATTACCCACGATCTCCCTCGTCCTTCCTTATCGCAGCCATCGGGGACGGAGTTCGCCCCTCTCGCAAATGGAGTTTCAACGGAGTTGACGGTATAAGGCTTGGGTTTTGATGTGGAGACGATTATGAGTTGATCAGCACCGGTGTTGATGGCGGAGATATGGCGGTTTTGGTAGGGCGTGAGTGGTCGGAGCTTGCTGCAATTCGCGACTCCGTGGGGGCAAATGAAGGCCTTTTGTCTGGAATTTGTTGAGATATCAGCGAGTTTTGATCGTTGTCCCTTTCTGGTCATTGTGATTCAGTCGGTGTCGTCATCAGAGATTTTAGACGGCGGCGCGTGAGACACGCATGACGGTCGGCGACCATTTGTGGAGGAGGCAATTGTTCTGGAGATGGGTTTTCTCTCTATTTTGGGAAAAAAATTGTGAAATTTATTTGGATAATTAATTTGATTATCATTATTGGAGATTGTTTTATTTTAGGAAAAAAAATTGTGATGATTGTTTAATTAGTTTAATTTTCAATTACCATAAAAAAGTTTGGTTTTCAATTTGTGAAATTGATTTGATATTTATTGAAAATTTAATATGATTTTAGTAATGTTGAAATAGACTTAATTTTACTTACCAAAAAATTAGGTTTAATTTTATGATTATTTTCAAATTTTCAAATTTTGAATATAATGGTTTTTTTTTAAATAATGTTTTTTTTTTTTTATAATTTGATGTGGGAGGGTGTATGTAGACCCCAACCAAGATCTAATATGGTTAATTGGATTTCACTCTATTGACAGGATGAATTGGCTCACCCACCATAGACATGCCTTATATACACACACTGAAAATTTTTGTGAGTTATTATCCCGTTTGAATGTAATGTGTATGCGGTTTTTTTTTTTTTTTTTTTTTTTTCCTTTAAAGATTAAACTTATTCATAACATTTTTCAGTACGCCAACATATCGATATGTTAGGTTTTTTATCCGTCGAATCTACATAAAAATCAAAAGGTACGTAAATTCAACAGTTGAAAAAACCTGACTCACCGATACACCAGGCGTACCAGAGAATCTCCCTAAAATTATATGGGTGTTATGGTTTTTTTTTAAACGAGATAGGGGCGGTGTGAGAATTTGTTAAAAACTAAGGATGCATTTGTTTTAAGGGTTCTGTATGGTTTAAACTATGATTTTTAGTTTCGTTACAGTGTTTTTCTCTCATAAAAAAATTAAATTTTAAAAATCAGAACTAAAATCACTGATTTAAACCCATGAACCAAATGAACCCTAAATAGTGAGTAATTTTTGCATTGTTATATCTATATATATCTAGATAATGTAATATAATTGTAGTTGATATACGTCAATTTCTAATAAATTCAACAAATCTCTTTAACACCAACCTGATAATAAACGCCTTAATTTATCGTTTCTCCAAATGATAGAACTAAAACACAATGCGTAATTGGGTTAAAAAAAAAAAAAAAAGAAGTAGCTGGGATTTGTTTTAAAAAAGATTTCTCTTTTCTACTAATCGACAAGCTTGATGTGAGATATTTTGTCTTGAATACATCGGAAAACCATCATTTTAAATTTCTCGGCAGAGTAGTGTATTCAACATTGGTAACCGAATCTTCTAGTACCTAACACCATTTTAAATATAATCCTAATACATGTTTGCAAAGAGGGGGAATGTTCAAAATGACATGACTACCTTATTTTCCACATTACATTGGTTTCTACAGTTGCAAGTACTGATAAATCCCGGCCATTTTTGGTAGATGCCACGAAGTCAACAGAAAAGGTCAACACCTAGTACCTAATTCATAACTTTGTTATAGGCTTAGAGAAAGTAATATCAAGGGAAAAAAAAAAAACAGCAAAACAGAATAAAAGAAGAAGGATAAAAAAACAAAAAACAAAAAACAAAAAAAAATTCTTTTGTAGGACCCACGTAATTTGAACGCATTTGCGGGTAGAAAAGATCTTTATGGTGCTAACGCTCAGTCCAAGCGACTTCTTGCTTTTTCTCTTGACGTCGACTTCATGTTTCGTTTGCCTTTAATTACAATGGCTCGTTTACTTCACAGATTTGAGTTTTTAATTTGAGTTGAGGTGTGATATTTTTTAAGAGCTTTTTACTGTAATAAAAAAATTAGATGTGACATTTTCTGAGAACTTTTTACTATAAAAACCTAAAACTGAAAACTCAAATCAGTGAAATGAACGAGGCCAATGTTTGCGTTTAAAATTAGTTTTAAAATAATTTTATTTTTAATAAGAGATAAAAATAAAATTATTTTAAAAATTATTTTGAAATTAATTTTAAAATTGCATTTGATTAATTTATTAAGAGATTATTTTAAATATAATAAAAAAATAAAATCGTGTTTATTAATTAATATATTATAATATTACCTGATAAGTACTAAAAAATGATTACAGAAAAGTGAAAACAACTTCAACTGTTTTTTAATTTCTTCACAAAAACCACTTACTGCTGTCGTGTTCAAAATATTTACTAAACAAACACCGTTTCGTTTTCACTTTCATTTTTTACTTCTCAAAATACATAAAAACCTTAAAAACGGTTCCAAACACGCACATTATCATCTGTTTGTAGTCCACAAGACAGTTGAAAAAGTCACTTAAAACCAAATAAGGCTAATAAATGTGATTAAAATTGGTAATGGTATTACTCTGTTTTTTTTTTTTTTTTTGCTGACAATTAATAATTTGACACAATCCAAATCGATTTATATGTTAAAATATCAATATCAGTCATGTAATAAACATATAATAACATAACTCTTACATTTTATACAAGACAATTATCATATAATAGAGAGAAAGCAAGTGACAGAGAGAAAGAGAGCCTACTGGTAAATCTAAATCATTTTATTCTTTTGGTAAATAAATTGTTCTGTATTATGTCCTTCGACTTGAATATGGCGAGCAATATTCATACTATAATTCTTGATAAAACAAAATTTAGCATCTGAGGTTTTGCAGCTAATAACATAATCTGAAAACAGCTAGGACGACATTCCCTATCTTTTCCTTCACTTGTGGCCGAGATACGGGGTGTCCGGAGATCTGTATCTTTGATCAAAAACCAGGAACGAAGCTGAATGCGGATGTTGGATATCAAGATCCATTTCCTGCAATGAAATATTTCATTAGGATCAAACAAGGGTTTTTACATCAGCAAAAAATTTTCTGCTTGTTTAGTGAAATTATAATATTGATCGATTTCTGCTTCATTACCTGCCTCAACTGCGATGTGTTCGATACAGATTCTGGGTATGTGTTATGGATTAGAGGCTCCTGCACGAAGAATACTCAAGTCATATAACAACAACATTAAAAAAATTCTAGTCAAAATGCGTGAACAACTAGCTACCTGTAGTAACTGGGATTGGCTAGGTGAATCATGTTGGTTGGTAAAGAAGTTGGGCGGTTGATACATGTTAGAATTAGTTTGCTGGTCCGTAGCCAGATTAGGTTCTCCGTACATGCACTTGACCACCTGATTTGCTTCAAAATTGTATAACCCCTGTGTTGTTCATACGGAAGATCAGAACAATAGGGAAATTTTTGTAGTGCAGTAAAGTAAAATATGAACGTCATTTAGTCATGAAGATAACGGTTCAAGTGGAATGTTTATTACTTGCATAATGGGATTTCCTGTTGTGGCTTGAGGTGAAACATAAACTGGAGGGGAGCTAGAAACGCAGGTAACAGTACTCTGTGCAAGTCCTTCCACATTGTGAATTCCTTTTGCAGTAGAGCCTTTATTGTTTAGAATTTTTAGTTGGCATCCACCCAGGATAGCACTCTCCCTATGTTTTGCCCTGCTGTCATCCTGATCCTCGATTGCATTTCCGTCTAGAAAAATCTCCGCGTGTTTTCCTTCGGATGCATTTGCACCATTACTACTCGAGGTTCCAGCTTGAGATTCCTCAGATTTTAATATCACCATTCTCTCCACCCCTTCCATCACTTCATCAAATTGTCTAGAGGCAAATAGAAACGCTTCCTCAGATTCGGAAGCCCTAGCCGATATTGTTAGAATTTTGCGGCACAACTCCTTGTAACGGCTCGCGATAATTATCTTAGGGTTGTCTTGCATGGTGAACTCATTGCACTCTGTTGCACTCCCTAATCTTGCATCTTTTGTCCATCTCTTCAAGATATATCTGGATGGGACAACCTTTATATTTTGTTGGTCGAGGACTTTCAGTGCATGGCTACACAGAAATCCAACATATTCAAACTTCTTGCAGCTGCATGTGACCGTATCATCTGAAGAGTTGAATGTAAGGTTGTATTCTCGGGTTTGCCCGAATTTGTTAGCTTTGTACTCGAACAATGACCCATCCTCGCTGCAGAGGTTAACAACAACATTTAAACACTTCTCATATCCCTGCTGGAACACTTCAAATGCCCTTGGAGTGTAAATCTCACTTGAATGCTTTAGCAAAACTACATTTCCCATTAATCTTGGCATACATTTACTCATTTCATCACTAGCTTCTATTTCTTTGTACCGTTGCTCATCTACAATGTTCTCAAAATTCTTGAAAAATTGGAGCACATCAAGGCCCGAATTTAGGTAGTTTCTCAAGTCAATAAATAAACTTTCAACGAGATGTGAACCCTTCACGTCGACAAAAAAGGTATTTCTACCATATACAACAGCCCATTTCTCACGTTCTCTAAACATCCATTTCAGCCACTCGTTCTGCTGAAGACTATGTTTGTCCAACATGTCCTCCCAGGCATGAAAGAAGTCCTCCTCGTCCTTTGAATAATAAATACACCTCCTAAAATCACTTGCAAAAAATTGAGAATCCTTGACAACATTGCTTATGTTTTTTATGGCATTTTCATACATCTGCCACACGCAAAAACAATGGATTGTTTCTGGTAAGACTGAATGGATTGCCTCAATAATTGCTGCATCTTGATCAGTGTATATGGCCTTTGGCTTTTTCCCAGACATTGTCTCTAAGAAAGTTCGAAAAAGCCACTTAAATGAATCCACGGTGTCATCATATAAAAGTGCAGCCGCAAAGATTACAGCTTGTTTGTGATGATTCACCCCTATAAACTGAACAAATGGGAAATGGTCCTTTTTTGTTCTGCAAATCGAGTCCAAACAAACCACATCGCCAAAATGACCATAGTCTGATACCATACAATCATCAGCCCAGAAAATGTTGCTCACCTTATCATCAATATCAAGTTGTAATGCATAAAAAAATGATGGATTCTGAAAATGCTGCCTTTGAAAATAGTGCAATAGATTTCCCGCCTCTCCCTCCTTCATATCTCGGATTCTTTCAGTTTGAAGGTGATTATCAAAATTCGAAGCAAAATCATCTAGAAAATCACGAACTCTGTATTGTCTATTCATTGATGCAATTGCTGATTTTGACTGCGGTCCTAAATTTTCTGCCAAGTCAGCTTCAGCAGATTGATCTACACTGAATTCCCTTTGCAGAGATAGCATTTGGAGATTACCTAGATTCACATTATCATGATTGTGTTGTTCTTCAAAATGGGTAACACGGTATTTACCATTAGGTTGACGAGTAATGATCATATGCGCTAAGCAACCAGTTCTTGTTTCCTTCCGATGTTTCTTCACATTAACATCTCTTTTATCTCTCCGGCGATAACCCTCTCTTGAACAAGTGAACTTCCTAGATACCACCTGACCATGTACCTTACTCCTATTTACCCAGTCTTTTCTCACACTAAAACCAACCAATCTAGCATACTTATTGTAGAATTTGTAGGCATGCTCATCAGATTCAAACTCCGTACCAATTTTTAATATTGCATCTGCGCCATCATCTTTTGAGGAATGAGTGGAGTGAATACCATTAGCATGGACAACTTTTTGGCTGCAATAATCCTGCTCAACATTCAAGTCCAAATCATTTGATGCTTCAAGTTCGACACCCTTGTTTTCTTCATGAAGACTGCCAAAGTCATCATCATCTCTATCCATTTACCTTCATTAAACACAATTCACGAGTTAAATTGTGTCCATCAAAATAATGCACTACTTTTTTTACCCCTCAGTTTTTCAAGCAATTTGATCTCAATCACAATGACATCAAAATACCAATATATTATAGCCTAACTACATATTATCATTGGAAGGACAATAAGATCGGAAATAAATATAAGACGCTGCATAGCTGGGGTTTCAGTTAGCATATATAACAAACACATTACATACGTAAAATGCAAAGACAAAAAGAAGGTAAATATAAATTCAAATTGATAAGTAATGAGAATGAAGGAATTCATGCTGAGAATTTCCACTCGGAAATGAAAACCTTGTTTCATATTATTTTGCCTTAATAATTTATTTGATCAACATCAATCGTTTATTTGCCAAATCCACAAGAGAGAAAATTCTAAGAATTTTCCAGATATATTCTGAAACTAAGGTAATTGCAAATTCTTTTGCAATATTACAAACCTCTCTGTTTCCGCTATAATATTTTCATTTTGGAATCCAGAATTCATAAAATATTATATAGTATCAACAGTAACTTGACGAAATGATGCATAATTAACTATGATAACTTATAACCAATGCAAGTCCAAATTCTAACTCCTAGCTAATATGCGTATAATGTTCAAGTTTCAACTCCTTCAACCACCTGATATATCTCAAACAAATTCTTAGTTAACGCCAAAGACAGAGAAAACAATTACTAAAACAGTGTAGAATGAAGGGCACCGCCGATGCCACCAATCCCCTTTCATCTCGGGGGGCATGATTCCGGCTCAGTTAACCTGAAATTATGTAGGCAATCCCCTTTTAGAAAGAAGTTGGGCCACAGCCCAGCAGGTGTATAAGCGTGAAGTGAAGATGAAGTGAGCATGGCTTTGTTTGCGTTCCTCTGGAACTATTAAATCCTCTTCTGGGGACGATCCCGATACTAGTGAAAGTAATTCCTTGCCTTTTGCTAGTGGGCTGGTGCAGAATGAGTCTATAGTTCTGGTCTTGGGAATCTCTTCGTCCCTGCTATGATGGCTACCAGAAGCATCGTGGGGCTCGTCAAGGTACAGCTTTTCTAACGGATTTCCTACTATCCGCTCTGCCTTTAGCTTTCCCCATCTGAAATTAACCTATTTTTCAGTATGAATCGAAATCAAGCTGCAATAATCCAGTAAAAGAAAAAAAAAATCTTCAAAAAAAATTGAGAAAGAACAAAACGGCCTTTTTAAGAATTGAGAGAGAAAAAAAAAAAGGAAGATCACAATGCAGAAAGAAACACCCATAAGGGCACACCTATTCAGAATATATGTTTACATAGCATCATCAGCTGCAAATTCCCTGAAGATAATGAAGAGCATAACATACATACATATATACATACATATAAATACACATAAAATTCGCTTGGAGAGAGAAGTAAAGTACCTGAAGCGCTTTGATTTTGGAAGAAAACTACGGTTTCGGATTCCCAGCGGCGGAGTTCGTAGCCATCGGAGCTTGTCCTTCACTCCTTTGTGCTATTGCAGGAGCAGCGACGGAAAAACACTCCGGAAAAAGGAAAGGCCTTCGCTGCCTAGTGGGAAAATGGGCAGAAATATAGATAAATTTTACTTTTTCCCCTAATCTTTGGTCTCTTTTTTCACTTTACCCCCCAAATTCAATATTTGTTACTGTCTACAACCCTTGAACCTTTAATCTGGCAGCACACTCAACCACCATGGCACAAAGAGGACAACATTTCAAAGTTTAAGCCTTTAATGTGCAGATGAATTTACAAAGTTTGAGGGCAAAGTGATAAGAAGATGAAAATTTACGTGCCGAAAGTAAAATTTAAGAAATAATGGCAATAATTAACTGTTGTATCGTTCAAAACAAATTTCGTTCTTCCATTAGAGAAAAAAAAAAATTCGCTCTTTCTTGTCGTTTCATATCACGCGACGTGTCGTTTTCAAGTCAGCGCAAGCGTTTCGAAGTTTGCCGTTGCTTAATAAACGATATGACGTTTTTTTTTTCAAGTCTAACGTCATTCGCTTTCACAAACGAAGTGTCGTTTTCTAAAATGTATACATTTCATAAGAACCCAAAGCCATCAAATCGGATATATATATATATATATATATATATATATATATTAACTTTTAATGAAAGAATCGGATAATATTTTACCTTTGTGGGAAAGCTTTCATGTCATTTTTGTTTTTCTACGCACTTTACGACATCGTGTTTGGCGAAATGTAGGTAGCTGTCGTTTATAATATTAATTACATGTCGTATTGCATGGAAAGTGTCACAAGGCCAACTTTTTCAGCGGAATATTTTGGACCGTGTTATCTGAGTAATGTCTAGCTATTCTTAAAGTTAAGTGTTAGATTAAACATTGCATTACATTTAAAGTCACTTGCGATTATTTAAGAAAAGCTGCTCAATCATAATATATTGCCCAACGAAAGACAAATGTATTTTTATTTCATTCAACGACATAAGTTCTCTTCCTGATCCCCATGACAGTCCTGATCAATCGCAGATCAGAAGACATTGCACAAGGAAAAAGGAAAAAAAAAAAGAAAAAAGAAGAAAAAAAAAAAACTAGAAAACGAAAATTGTAAAACGTTCACATCATTATTTCGTCGAGCAGTAGTACCCCATCCCGTTGATTCATCAGTTTGCATCTGCAATTTCACACACCAAAATTAAAAGTAAACAAAATTAGATTAAACAAAAATTCATCGAAATCAACAAATGCTATGTGGCATCAAAATGTAGTGGTTATAGCTAATTCGTTTTTCTATTTAGAAAAGAAAGAAGGAAGAACGAACCACAAGAGAGGGGGGGAATGTTGCAAAGGGAGGGAAGGCGGGAGGCGATGCGGAGAGTGTTGCAGACGCAGTCATGATCGACCGCCTGGAGGGCGGCGCAGCATTGGGCGCTGGGCTGAGGATTGGCTGCGCCGGGCACCACGAACGGCGCGCACGAGTTGAGGTTGTTCAGCCGAGAGGTGCATTGCGGACTCACCTGAGCCTCGGCAGTGTGGCTCTGCTGGGCCACCAGAGCTGTGATGAGCAAGACAAGCAGACCAGCTTGGTAGCACACTGACTTGGGGGATGCCATGAGGATGATTTGATGCTAATTAAGTTGTTGTAATAGTGATTTTCTACTAATAGACTTCTCTTACTACTGAATTATGTTTTCTTGTGGTTCATTTTCTAGGCTCTTGGGTTCATTTCTTTTATAGTGGCTTGGGGATCAGGAAGAGATGATCATGAGGTTTTGCATGAGTAACCAAAGTTAGAGTTTTGAGCTGATCATTTAGTTTTTGTGTTGGATGTGTGGCAAATCAGGATGGCCGCAATCTTTGCGTGTCTTGCACCCGGAAGGTCATACAATTAGTTTTCCATTAGATAAATAAATTAAGGAAAAAGTTCTTTTCTATTGGGAAAAAACAAAAGTTAAATTGAGGAGAGTGTAATGGGACAACATGGATGAAGAGTGAGGCCGATGTAGAGAGAGCGATTGAGGTTGCATAAGATTTGTGGTCTAATAGTTTGTATTGGTGATTATCACCACATATTTTCAGTTAATAACAAATTCATATTTTAATTTTCAGATTCACTGATTATGATTATGGATCTATCACAATTGCACATGTCAATATCGAATTTGATTAAAAAGCTATTGGTAATCATCATCGTTGTTAGTAATAAGTAGGATCTTTATAAATTATTTAAAATGATGATTTCACACGAGTATTAGACTTCTAGAGGTGGTTTCAATAAGAAGAAAAATAAGAAATTGGTTGCAAAATTCATTAATTAATTGCATATCTTGGTATATGAATATGCATGAATAATGAACAAGAAGATGATACTAATAACAGAAAAGAATCATAAAGTATATCAAAATGACAAAAGAAAATTCAGCCCAAGGAAAATGACAAACAACATAAACACAAATTTTAGGGACCAAAAAAAAAAAAAAAAAGAGTTTCTTTTCTTTCTTTTCCCCCCTCCTTTTTCCTATGTAGTTTTGGCTATTTGTTAATCAGATATAGCAGGAGCTGTCCAATATTTCTTGACAGCTAATAAAAGCTTCTCCCTCTCAAGAGGCCCATCTTCATGGTCAACAATTTTACTTTCCCATTCCATTGCATCAATTATCCTTTTAATCTTCACCAGCACATCCACATCATCTCTGAAAATTACACTCCCCTCTGGCCTCAAAATCCTATCCATTTCTAGCAATATGTCTTCCATTTCACATCTGTTAAATAACTCAAGAACAACAAATAAGAATAAGAAACATCATTGGTAATGTCAAACTGAACAAAAAATAATAATAATAAGAATAATAATAATAAAAAAGATGACTTGCCTATCCATGTAAAGACTAAACACTGAATCAGCGTGAATGAGATCATAAGTTCTGGGATAAGTAGACATTGCTTCACACCTGAATTGAATTGGGAAAAAAAAAAAAGAAAAAAGAAAGAAAGAAAAGAACATATTATTTACAAATGCCATAACTATCAAAACATATATGCATGGCAAGTAATTTAGAGTACAAATTATAAAAGACTTACCAATTCTGATATGTTCCAATTAGACCCCGTTCATAAATAACTCCAAGCGTGTCAACCTTAACGTCCACAGGAACCACATTCATCACCCAAACAGGAAGGTCAACCAGTGCAGCAGCAAATCCTCCCAAGTATGCATTCATGTCTAGAATGTTCCGGTATCTTCCAGCTCGCCTGAGCATGTTGTTCACTAACTTATAATGTGACAACCTTTTCTTCCACAGTACTGAATCTTGTTGGAAAATCTCAGCAGTAACACCTTTCACTGTTCCTTTGCTGATCCTTGGAGGAACTGAATTTAGTCTCTTTGGCCATTTCGATAATTCTCCGCCAGCATTTCCTTCATTGTTGGAGACATCCGGCAACGGGGTCAAACAAATCTCCATTTTGGTATACCTAAAAAATGGTTAGGACTGATAGATAAGTAATAATAATAAAAATATATATATAATTGTTCACGTCAGTTAGTATTAAAAAGTTGATGAAGAACGAACCAAGCTCTATCGGGGTCGTGATCAGCAGAGCAGAATGGAGGATTTTGGCCTCCGCTATGTTGGACTTTGCAACTTCCATGGTTAATGGGTTTTTGCCAAATGGCAATGTCATCCTTCTCCACCAGCTTTTTCCAGCAAAGGCTCTTGGCAACTTCCTCAATAATACTCTGCTCATCCTTCAAATCCTGCTTTGTTCTCTGCCACCCCTTCCAATGTTTCTTCCAATTGATTGGTGGGCCCGAAAGAATCCAGTACCCACCTGGTCGTAGAACTCGGTCAACTTCAATCAAATAAATACCATCTGCACCATAACAAAATTAAAGATTACATAACAAATTCTATACAAATTACTCCTCAATACAAGTTCTTTAATTAGGACAAAAATTGAAACTTAGTTAGAAATGTGGACAAAGTGAGAATTAATGTATGAGGATACCAAATTGGCCCCAAGGAATGAGACAGCGAGAGCAATGGGCCATGTCGAAAGCTCTAGAAGGATAAGGAAGTCGCTTTGATGCAAGGACTCCTATTAAGGCAGGCACTCCTCTCTCAAGAGCGAATTGGACTTGAGCCTCATGAGTGTCTCTAGGAGCAAACGACATCGTTAGGATGTTTCGCGACAAAAGATAAGCTCCCCAACTTGCAACCTGCACATTATTATCTTGGTAAAATACACACAAGTATATAACAAAAAATCTATAGACAAATCGACCACGAGAATTTAGAAGAAAATTTGTGAACACTTAATGCCTTGTCCACTTCGCGGATTTGAGTTTTCAATTCAAGCTGAGATGTGACATTTTTTGAGAGCTTTTCACTGTAGCAGAAAAAGTTAGATGTGACATTTTCTGATAGCTTTTTACTGTAAAAACTTAAAACTGAAAACTCGAATCGGTGAAATGAACGATGCCTTAAATACCACGAGTACACCTTACTCTCGTTAATATAGAACTCACCTCGATGACTATTAAATCTATAGAAAAATCGACCACGAGTCTTTAGAAGAAAATTTGCAAACACTTTAAATACTACGAGTACACCTTACTCTCCGTTAATATAGAACTCACCTCGGTGACTATTATTATTATTATTATTATTATTGTTATTATTATTATAAAAAAGCACAGAGGCATAACAGATCTACAACACGAGCCTTTATTATTATTATTATTTGGTTGCTCCAGTATTCGTTTCTTCCTCGGATGAGATGTACTTCATAAAGCAATTAATAGTATTAGGCTTTAAGTTTTAAGGTTAACCATGTTACTTCTTTAATACTAATTACCACGTACGGACATAAATGATCTGTGTGTTCTGAAAATGACAATGTAATATTACAAAGAAATAACATACAACACGCACAACAATGGACAGTTTTGCAAACAGCACGATATTGTAATATTAAACGACTTATATTTCTTTTTCGTTTTTGCTGGACTTCACAATTAAAATAAAATTAGGAGGTGTATTGGAAGCCTGAGACATAGTCGGCCGTTGAGATTTCCAGTAGAAAATTTGATTATTTAGGTCCCGTTCATTTCACCGATTCGAGTTTTACTACAATAAAAAGTTCTCAGAAACAGTCACATCTAATTTTTTTACTACAGTAAAAATCTCTCACATAAAATCACATCTTAACTCGAATTAAAAACTCGAATCAACGAACTAAACGGACCCTTAATGTGTCCTCAATTAGTCGGCAAATACTTGTTAATTCCAGATTTCAGAATAATCAATCGAGGCGAAATGAAAAATTTCCTTACTTCACTTTATTCAACCAACTTCCCTAGATCCAACAGAATTTAATCCACTGGAATATATAAGATCGTTTAATATAAAGATCCAGATAATGGTTTTGATTATATATTGAACGAGCCAAAAAAATAAAAAATTGCTCGTGTCGGTACTTGCCTTTTATAATTAAGAAATAACATTATTGATTGCCATATACCCTGAAACCCATAGAATTTAAAAATAATAATACTATTATTAAAGTAAGAGGGAGAGAAGACTTCACTAGAAAATTAGATAAAAATTCAGCAAAAACCTAAAAAAAAAAAAACTAAATAAAAAAGAACCGTTGACTCATGTAATATGTAGTGCGCAATATTGGTGCGAAAAGTTTTAATATATGTATATTATAATATATTATATATATGTAACATTACTTTCTCAGATCCAATCAAATCTGTTCAAATTATGAAGCCATAAATCCATTGTTTTTTTTAAAACCCTTTCTCATCTCGGCCCCAATCAACGTTGATTAGCATCTTGATTTGTTTTTACGTCAAACTTCCCATAACTGGTCATATAATGAACACTAAACTACCTCAGTTTTCTAATGCCTACTATTGTAAGATTCCTCTCTCTCTCTCTCTCTCTCTAAATATATATATATATATATACGCGGATTTTTTTTTTCTCAATTTGCTCTCTCTCTCTCTCTCTATGTTTCTACATATATATACATATCCGGCCAACATCACTACCATTTCGCACCTTTTTTTTTTTTTTTGGATAAAAAAGCATTTTGCATCCATTACTAAATATGTACTGTTGAGACGTGATAATATTCTACCTTAACATTTCGATCACCGAAATGCATCACCATTCCCAAAATTTTGTTCCTATGATCCTTCCTAGGTCATATATTTCTTTAACTAACGTTTTGTCTTAAAATGAAAAAAAAAATCACACTAGGCATCTTCAATAAAAAATAAAAAAAATCACGCTAGGCATCACATTCTAGGAAAGAAACTAAGTAGAGCATACATTATAATTATATGGTAAGAAATAAGAATATACTTTTCTTAACTAACTTCTTGTCTTAAACTGGAAAAAAAAAAAACTCACAACATGCATCACCGTTCCCAGAAAGCAACTACTATATATATATATATATATATATATATATATATATATATATATATATATATATATATATATATATATATATATATATATATATATATATATATGTATGTATGTATGTATTATAGATATATTATATATAAAACTAGAAATTCTCTTAATAAAAGGAAAATATTGAATGTTAATAAATCAGAGAGAATATGTAATAACTCGGAAAGCAATTAATTAAGCAATGACAAAAACAATAATACTAATTAATTACGTGAATAGAGCTGTTACAGTACAACTTACCCCACAGCCCGTATCAATGGAGGTTCGAATAGAGCCGTCCCTGAGATTGATCAACCTCCCAATATCATCAATATACGCATCGGCACCGTTCGGAAACATGGTCCCACCTCCGGGAAACCTGAACCGGTCCCCCTCGTACCTGATCCAGTTCTGCACCGCCTTCTCCACCGTCAGTTCCTTGTGCGGCACATTCGCGTACCACACCAGATCCCTGCTCCTCGGCCACGGGAACGGGTTGCGGTACCCGTGCGGCGCCGGCACGCGGCACTTGAGGAGCTCCGACTTTTCCGGGCAGTGCCTCTCCCTATACACCAGCCTTGCTCGGCTGAACTTCAGCGACCTCTTCGCGTCCTCGCACGGCGTGTACTCGCTGTACCTCGCCTCGCACCGCGGGTACGCCGCGGTCAGTGGAGACGCCGGCGACGAGTAGTTGAGCGAGTGGTGTATCAAGAAATCGAGTTCTTGAGGTGGTGTTGACGCTACGACGTCGTTTTTGCATGGGGAGGCGAGGAGGACGGGTGTGGCGGAGATGGCGGCGGATGTGGCACCGCCGCCGTGTTGCCAGAGGCCGATGAAGTAGGAGGAGATGCAGAGGAAGAGAATGAGTGGAAGGGTGTAGATGTTGGCGAGTTTCCATGGGGAGAAGAAGGACGTGGTTGTGGTGGCCTTTGATGATTTATTGGTGGCCATGGTTATGGTGTTTTGTATTTTTTTTTGGTGGTTCTCTTTGAATTTATGGGTTGAAAGGTTTGAGGAAGTGAGATTAAAGGAATAGTTTTTTTGGCTAATTAAGAGATTAGAGGATGTATATTTAAAAAATGAAAAAAGAAATTGATTTAAGGAAGGTTCAATATGGAAATAGGTGATATTTGGTTGAGTTGGTCATGTGGGCGGTGTGCAGTTTTTGTATTGATTATGGGAAGAAAAGATTTCTTGCGTCATTACTTTAAATGGGTGTGGTCTCGAAATGGGAAGAGAGAGAGAGATCTAGAGAGAGAATCTCAATGGCATAAAAATGGAATTAGGAGAGTTATGAGGGGAAGAAAGAGACGTAATATTGATCATGATAGACTCAGATTTGTGATGTTCAATTTAACCCTCCATAAGATGAAGGGCTAGCTGTAATTTTTTCTTAGGTCAATTGGGTATTACTTCAAATCTTGTTCACTTTAATTAGATTTATTAACTTTTATTTAAAATTAATGACGTTTTAGAGAGATGTCAGCCCGTCAAAACGGATATGGATACAGATTAGTTCCCATAAAAGAAAAGAAACCAGTTTTGCCATGATTTTTTTTTTCATGTATAATAGAGTAAGCAACTCTTCTGTAATTACACAAATATGCTTTTTTCCATAAAAAATAATCTTACATTCATGATTTAAGTCAAAAGGGTCAGTTAATGAAGTGGTAATTAATAGAAATATTAATAAGGAAAAACCAGATTTTTGTACCTTATATTTTATCGAATTAGTGGATTGGTGACTTTTTTTTTTTTTTTTTTTTAAAGAGGAAATGCATTAAAAGAAAAACTGACAAACAATTGTCTCGGTACAAATTCACTGACCCTTCAAAAGGTAAAACGCACGATTGAGGTCCGACAACGGGAAACTACCTCGGCATACTACAAATTCGCTGACCCTTCAAAAGGTAAAACGCACGATTGAGGTCCGACAACGGGAAACTACCTCGGCATACTACAAATGAAGCATGTTTAGTGTGACTTAAAATTTATATATCACACTAAATATACCTCACCATTCAAAAAAGAAAAAAAAAAGCTCCCATGTTTCAAGGGGTTCTATCAAACAAAGCATGTCGACAAATCGATTCAAAATTGGCCCCATTGTCACTCCATATAAATTGAAAATAATGTTATTGCACGATCAGTTTTTATGATTATGCATGTGTTGGTTATTTTTGTTATAGCTAGCTATCATTATTGTTTGAGCCTTGAGGTTTGCATTGTGTTTTATCGTCGTAATCCCTATTTTCCCTCTGCTGAGCATTTGGCTTGCTTTAGCAATCGTGTCTGGTCACAATTTTTTTTTTTTAAAGACTTATATGGCTTGTTCTTTTGGAGTTTAACTTGAGTATAATTCTTGAGTTAAATTTGAGTTATAACTTTAGTTGAACTTGTAACTTGAGTTTGTGTTTGGTTGTATACATTTGAGTTATGGTTTGAGATAAGAATCCTTTTGAGTTTATGTTTGAGTGAGTCAAAACTTGAATTTGTATTTAGATAGTATTTTAATAAAAACTCAATGCTGATAAAAAATTTTAATATGGTATATGGGTCGGGTTTTATTCGTCTTTTCGTTGTCAACGCATAGAAAAAAAATCATCTCAATCAGAATTAAAACGAAAAAGTTATAGCATTTTTAAGAATAGAAAAAATATTGTTTATTAATTTGAGTTCGAGTTTCTGAACTCGAGTTGAAGGGAAATCTTAGGTTGCGTTCTTTTCAATAACTCCAAATTCAAGATTGGAGTTAAAAAAGTGAGTTTAATTGGAATTGTGTTTGAAACTTGAATTGTGTGTTGATAACTCCATGAAATGGAGTTATTTAGCCTCTTTTGTGGATTAAAAAGTATACTTGTTCTTATGAATTTATTTAATTTTTAATACTTTTACCTTATTTTTATTTCATTTTATTTTATTTTTATTCAGTTTCCTTTCAAAATAATTATTTTCCTTATTATGTAATTTAATTTTGGTGATAGGGGGGCTTAAATTATTACCTAGAGGGTAATTAATATTAGTTTTCTCCTATATCTTGTCTTGTTAATAGTTTTTAGTTATTTGTGATTCATAAATTCTCTCTCTCGTGATTAGCGTTTAAAAAGAGCTAATTTAGGTGCACTTTATGGTTAATCTCAGCTTTAAGAAAACGTGGTCGTTTGGAGCTTTGAGCAGCTTTTCATTTTTTGAGTATGAAGGAATCCTAGTCAGCATTGCTGTGCATTGCTACAGCAAGACAAGCTGGGCTAGGCGTGTATTTTGCTGACAGCTGGACCTGAGCTGGTTAATGGGCTGATTTTGTCCGTGAAAGGTGCTGATTCAGCCACTCATTGGAGGCTTTCTCAGGGGCTGCCACGTGGAATTAGGGTACAATAAGTACCTACAGCTGAAAGAGAAGAAGTTGTCCTTGGTCATATTTTGGAATGCAGAGGCGGCTGAACTTGGAAAAGGAAACCACCTCCATTTTTCTGATCAAGTACCATTTCCAGTACTGAGGAAGAAGAAGAAGAAAATGTCACAGAGATTTAAACGTGAAGGACCATCTGTTGATGCAAGAGCAGCTAGAAGAAACCTTGGAAAAGGGGGATTCGGATTCTCTCATCATCATTTTAGTCTTTCTTATTCTCATTACTTTATTTTTCTTGTTAAAGAATATTTATTCTTCTTCTTGAATCTGAACTTGAATTCATAAATATATTTCTATGAGACTATGATTTGTTGGCTGAGGTTGTTGATTTGTTAAATATTAAGTTGCTAGTTGATGTTGAATGGATTTGATGATTATTTCTCTGTTTATTCAAGTGAGCTGAATTTGTGCCTTAACTGTGATTGGGAAATCATAAGAGGGGAGTATAGCTTTGATTAGATCTGGGAAGATTTAGTTGAGTGAACACAGCTTGAATAGTGCAGGTTCTTAGATCTTGTTTTAGATTTTTGATTCACATGATATAGGAATATATTGTATCTTGCATAACCATATGATTTAGAGCTTTATTCTCTGAGTTTAGAGTCTAGATTTGTAAAGGGATTTGTGAGATTTAGCTTTAAGATCAGTAGATAGAGGATTAGAAAATCCCTGGTTTAGTAAATATGGTTAACAGGAAGTAGTCGTTGCTGTCCGTTGCTGCAGCATCGCGCAGCACTGTTAGGAGACAGTTTAGCAATTGTGAGCCACGAACAGTGACATTGGCCAATTCTATTTGCATACTTGTTATTAATTAGTTTTCTTTTTGTTGTTCATTTATTTACAGTCAGATTATCATTAGTTTTAGCACCTTAAAAATCACTTTTAGTCTTTGTTTAAAAACTTGGATAGAATTAACTTAACAATTTGATTTCAAAACCTACAATCCCTGTGGGACGATACTTGGTTATTCATCATTTTACTACTTGTTGACTCGTGCACTTGCGAGATTCTAGATTCACAATTTTAGACAACATGTGTTCACTTGGATGATTTGTGAGATGTGAACTTGAGTTTTGTGTTCACTTTGACAAAAACATAACTCCAAAATTTTGCAAGTATTGACATGGATTTTTTGACTACACATTAATACACCTTATGGAAGGTTGATGGTGTTGTTTTTGGAGTGTTTTCCAAGGTGTACTTCCTCTCATATTGCTTGTTGTTACGCTTTGAGAAACGACTTGATATTTAAGAAAAGGAAGATAAATGCTCTATATAAAAATGTGTGTAACAAGAAAATGCTTGTATGTATTAAGTATATGCTCCTAATCTGCTAATGTGATTGTGTTTATAAGGGTGCATTTTACATGTATGCATCGTCGCAAGGAGTTTTTTTTTTTTTTTTTTTTGCTTGCACTTTTTAGATTTAATCTGCTATTGATTCGATCGATCATCAAATTCAATTGTCTTTAGAATTTATTTGAATCTATTATCAAATGGTTATGATCTAACAATGAAGATTATATGACCGTCAACAGTCAACTAACAGATTTGTTAATTATAACAGTTACAACCTTTCATAAAAATCGTGTTCAGGGGATGCATGCTCAACTCAGAAAAAGGAACAAATTCTGATGCTCTGCTTGGACAGCCAAAAACGACAGATCTCATATGTAACGACATACTAGTTGGGGCGATCGTTTGGCACACAAAACTTGAGTTTAGGGTCGTTTGGCTGTTCTTATGTTCTGTAAACAATGGCAAAAAATCTGTCTTTTTTGCCATTGTTTTGCTTATTGTGCTCTAGTTTTTCTAAGCTATTTTGGGTTGTTGTGAATCGGCAGCATCATTAGCCGCACATCCTAATCACCGCAAATAATGGAGGAATCAACATTAATGCAAAGCATTGCATTGCACACACACAGACCAGTTTTCGTGATAATGTAAAAAAATCAAGGGGGGACATTTTACCGTGTTTGAGCCGACAGAGGAGTGCTGATGCTCTGCTTCGATAACCCCCAACCGTGAGTCCGACGGTTCTGGCAGCCAAGTTCGCCGACGGTAACGAAGACGGGAAGACCGGTACCGGAGACAACTCCTACGCACTCGGAAACAACGTTGCACACTACATCGACTCAACAATACTGCCAATGGACTGTAGGACTTCACGCTCGGCAGACCAATTTTGTCCGATTTGAAAATTGAAGAAGATGGGAAATAGGGTTTCGTGTTGGGCGCACAATCAGGAAAGGGGTGAGTATTGAGGGATTTATAGGTGCACGAGGAAGGAGGAACTCACGCGGCCATCGATTTGCACAAACCCATTGGATCAAAATAGCATCGCAGACTGCACGCGGCCTTGGGGTTCATGGAGGCGCAACTGTAGCAGATGGGAGATGAGGGAAGCGAAGGGCGAGAACCGGAGAGGGGCCCTTTCTTGTGAGCCAAGCAGCAAACCTTGGAAACGACAATGAATGGCAAGCAACGGTAACAAGGCATGTGAAAAGCAGGTATGCGCAGAGAATCTACACTGTAGAAGACAAACTCGAGTTAAAGGAATATCAGGGGGTAGTTGATGTTTTATTACTCGAGTTCAAGCTCGAGTTTTGAGTCTGAGTTTGAA